TTATAAAATTCCTCAAATACTTTCAATTTTTCTTTCATAGCTCTACATAATTTACCTGTTTTATCTTTTATCATGTTTATCGTTCCTTCCATTTTCTTTTTCTGTGTTGATTTGGCTAGGATCTTTGAATTCCTATCACTAAACTCAAAATATTCCCTCCTTAAATAAATTAAATTTTCTTGTACTTCGTCTATTTCCATTTTATCCAATTCCTCTTTTTTTGCTCTTAACCTAGCATAAATTCGTGTATCTCTCTTTATTACATATGCTTTTTCAATCTCTTCTATTTCTCTTTCTAAATTCCTTTTCCTTTCTTCTTGCCTTCTCTTTAAATTAATTGTCTCTTTTATACATAACCCTCTGGTCACTGCTTTCATAGTGTCCCATAGAACTCCTTTTGTCACCCCCTTTTCGTTGAAGCCCCATATTTCTTGCCATTCTGCTTGCACTTTATCTACTATCTCTTTATGATTTAGTATTCTTGTGTTTAACCTCCACCTTTTCATTTCATCATAATCACATTTCAACGCAATCTCAATTGAAACCAAAGCGTGATCCGAAATCTTAATCATACCTATATCAGCATTTAGCACTTTACTTGTCATATTTTTGGAGACAAAATATAATCAATTCTTGTATACACCTTATGTACTGATGAATAATATGTATATCTACTTTCATTCCCTTTTACCAATCTCCACACATCCTTTAATTGCCATTTATTCATTACTCTGCTTAATTCCGTTGTTTCAATGTTTCTAGCTTTTGATGCTATCGTAGTTTTATCCTTCTTTAAATCCATACAGCAATTACAATCTCCTCCAAATATTACATTTTGTTGATGGTAATTCTCTATTTGCTCTAACACTTTTTCATAAAATTCTTGCTGTTTCACATTTGGTGCGTATACATTTACTAATACATATTTTTCCTCCCCTATTTCCCCATATATTATTATATATCTTCCCTCTTCATCCTTCAATACCTTGTTTATGACAAAATTACATTTCTTTGCTATTATTATTGCTACTCCTCTTGACTTTGATGTCCCAAAAGATGTTTCGTAGTTCCTTATCCAGCTCGACTTTAACTCATTTGAGCCCCGCTTATTTTGATGTGTTTCCTGTAGGAAGATGGCGTCCGCCGCGTCCTTCTTCAGTAGTGATGTGTCTCCTGTAGGAAGATAGCGTCCGCCGCGTCCTTTTTCAGTAGAGATTCAATCCGCCTTCTCTTAATTACCGTCCCCAACCCCCTCGTGTTAAGCGTTGAAATTCTTAATTTATGGGACTCCATTTCCCTTTCCCTTTAAAAGCTTTTTTGTGGCTTGAAACAACGTGAATCCTTGACCCTTTCCCTCCTCTACCCTTACCCCCCATTCCCCCCTCCCTCCCAATCCCCCCACTTCCCTCTTTCCCCCCTTCCTCCCCTTCCAATCTTCGGGACGTCTCGTCCCAATCATGGCCCCCGGCCTTCCCAATTGGGGAGGGGGGGGTGAAGTCATCCTGTGGCCCAGAGTCTCCCTCCCCCCGAGTGCTCATTTTAGATAAAAAGAATAAAAAAAAGCGTAATTGCAGTGTTTAATTTCTTCTTACATCTCGATTCCTCCGACGGCACCAATTAATTCCTCCAGTTCTCCTCCGTCCGGATCCTTTTCCTCCTCCTCCTTCCGATCTCTTTCTTGACTTCTTACTATTCCAAGCTCCTCCAGTAGTTGGTAACCTTGTTCCAGTGAATCTATTCTGTATCTCTTGCCTTTCCATTGAAACTTGAGAAAGATAGGGTATCCCCAGGTATACAAAATTCCAGCCTTCATTAATTGGATCGTAATTGGCTTCATTGAATATCTCCAATTCTTGGTTTCTGGGCAGTAGTCGTTAAATATTTCCAATTTAGATTCACCCATTTTTAGATGGTCAGGATTCTTCTTGAGTATTTTCATCAGGTCTTCCTTCTTTGCAAAATTATGGAATCGAATTATTATATTTCTGGGTGTTATTTTATTTCTTCCAGCCGGAAGGCGGTGGACTCTCTCTATATCCAATTCTGACCAGTTCAGTACCGGCGTAATCTTCTGCAACCACTTCAGAATTTCAGCTTTCAGGTCTTCTTTTTTATTCCCTTCTGGATAATTTTTAATTATTGCATTGTTCCTTCTTTGATTATCTTGCATATAAACAAACTTTCTTTCCATATCTGAAAGTCTATTTTCATTTTGTTGTGTTTGCCGTTTAAGTACAAGTTGTTCCTGTTTGTTTTTTTCAATTTCTGCTTTATTCATTTTTATTTCTCCATGTATTGATTTCAAAGTTTCTTGTATTGCCTGAAATTTTTTATCTGAACTTTTTCGTTCCAGATCTATCTGCGATTTCAACTCTTTAGTACTGGTCAGAATATCTTGCTTTATGAGTTGAGTCTCACTTTTGATCAAGTCTGCTATTTTATTTAACATTTGGCTACTGCTCATTTCTTTCTCCAGTTTCCCCGGTTCTTCCCTATCACTTCTTCCTTCTGATCCAACTGGTTTTGCAGTTAGACATGGTAATGATGTTGAGGTTCCACTCCCTGATTGGGGAGGGGTCCTTTTTAGCTGATTGCCCTTTTGAGGGGGGGGGCTGCGTCTAACTGCACTCATGTCTTTAGGAAGCTGAGGAGCCTGGGAAGCCTGGGAAGCTTCAGGATTTTCCACCTTATTCAAACCAGTAAGTCTTGTAAGTCTTGCAAGAGATCTATCCGAGGGTTTTGTACGTTCCCACAGAGGGTTCTTTGAAATCTCTCTTGGTGTGTCTCTCTTTTGGTGTGTCTTCCTGCTTCCACTCATTCAGTCCATTCACTCATTCAGTCATTCAGCACAGCACAGTCCAAAAGTTTCCACCCACATATGTTTGTATCGCTGCAACTCTTCCTTATACCAAGGAGTTCAATTTAGCTGACGTTAATAATTCATTCCTTCTTCACTGGAAAGGCTTGTCTTTAATCATTGTCTTTAATCATTGCTTTGATCATTGCTTTTGCCTTCCAATTCATTAAATCCAGACTCTCCAAAAGTTTTTAGTTAAATTGCAAGACTTATGACGCACTTGTAATTGCAAAGTCAGTTTCACTTTCGGCCGAAAGCAAGCCGAAGCAAGCCAGCTTCCAGAGATCATAAATCAAAAGCAATTAAACGGTGGTTGTTTACCTTTAGGCTCCTCTTTTTTTCAGCTCTTTAGACACACCACACTTTCGCCTCTTTTCCAGTCCATAAAGAGAAATCCTTAAGATCTTTTATCACTGCATTCTGGTCTTTTGCTCGGGAGCTATCCAGGAAGACGTCTGCTACTCGGCCATGGTGACTCCTCCCCCCCATAATGCCCTCTCTAATCTTCTTTTCTCCCCTCTTCCAGTTCTGTCTTATTTAATGAGGAAATCTTTTTAAATTGGATTTCCTAGGTGTGGAAGGAAGAAAGGAAGGAAGGAAGGAAGGAAGGAAGGAAGGAAGGAAGGAAGGAAGGAAGGAAGGAAGGAAGGAAGGCCGTATCTGACCCCTGGACCTTAATTTGAGGACCCCTGGTTCATATGCTTGTGGATTTCAGTGGCTTCTCTGTAGCCTGACATGGTAGTTGTTAGTGACTTTCATGTTCCTTGATTCGTGTTTGGGTGTTGTGTTTGGTGGTCCCTATGTAAACTTGTCAACAACTGCATGGTACTGTAGACTCATGCAGAAGTGAGAGGATCCCTCTTGTCGTTTGCTGACCGTAGCATTTGTTGGATTGAGAGGGCAATAATAATAATCCATGGCGAAGCAGAGATGTGAACCCTGGTTTCTCTGAGGTCCCTTCTATACTGCCATATAATCCAGATTATCAAAATAGATAATCCACTTTATCTGCTTTGAATGAGATTATGGGTCTACACTGCCATATAATCCAGTTCAAAGCAAATAATCTGGATTTTATACAGCAGTGCAGAAGGGACTGGAGTTTTAGTCCAACTACATCAGCTGACTATGTGAAGAGCAGAAGTATATAAATACATGTACACACGTACCTGGTAAATAAGAGTTGTGGAGTCTCATCTTTACCTCCGACAAACATCCAGAAATCCTCTTGCTCTTCCTCAGACTTCTACTCCTCCTGACATTGAGAAAGTATTTATTATTACATGTTAACTTCGCTTATCCCATGGCATAGGGTTTTCAATATGTTTCTGGATTTTTTTTAAGTTTCTGAAACTCTACGTCTGTGAGTTTTTTAAAATTATATATATATATAATTTTTATATGTTATTTATTTACTTTTACAGTACAAGATGTATTCAGCAACAATTCTATGACTGCTAGAAACTATCCCTTGGTGAATATATTAGTCAGTGCTTGTACAGAAACCCAGTAACAACCTTGGCTGCTCCATAAGGAAGATGAAGAAAAATGGCCTTAGTAAGACATTCCTCATGCATGTCCCTGTCTAGGTCAGGAGGGTTATAACTAATCTTCTTATCACCATTACAAACACAGCACTTTGCTTTCTTATTCTTCCTTGCAAGTATAGATACTGCCAGCTGGCAGCCAGTACTATATCTAATATACCTATCCTTGTGGTTACTTTACACTCACGATTAGTATATATTTACTTAGAAATATTTTCATTGAAGGAAAGGATGTTAAAGAAACTATTTTACCTCTTTGTAGAAAAGGAAGAAACAGATGCATTTAAAATATCTGGCTCCCATTCATCAGTGGGGTCATTAAAAATTTCATCTGATTTGTTGGTGCTATTTGTCTGGAAGTAAAGAAAAACTATTGGCTCAGATTTAGTGACAAGTTTCCACAGTTTAAATAAAAAATCAACACACAATAAATACATTTGCTTTTTAAGGCCCCTTCTACATTGCTATATAATATCAAGATTATCTGCTTTAAACTCAGATAATCCAGTTCAAAGCAGATAATGTGGATTATCTAGAGTTTTAATAATCTGGATTATAGGGCACTGTATAAGGGGCCTAAAAGAACAGACGGAGTTTTTGTCATATCACTAATTTATCATATCACTTTTGAAACCACAAATACAGGATGTTTCAAAACACCCCTATATATGCAGATATGCAAGTCAATTTCCTGAAAAGCTTCAGTTGTTGGTGTTATGAAGAGATGCATGAGAACATCCTATGCCCTCATAATAATAATAATAATAATAATAATAATAATAATAATAATAATACTTTATTTATACCCCATGAAAGAGACTCAAGATTGTGCTCTTTTGCATAGTACCCAAAACATGAGAAACAACTGAGTGGGTGACTTGGTGAAATCTTGCATTTCTTGTTTCTCTGTTGTGCATAAAATTGTTTCAAATCAGTCTTTGCTAAGTTCAAGAAACAGGCTAAATCTGGGACTAGCTGCAATTCTAGGAAAAATGGGAGCATACATGATACTTCATAGCATGCAGGGATACTGAATGAATGAGGACCAAAAGACAGACTACAGGCAGTCCCCAAGTTACAAACATCCAACTTACAAACAACTCCTAGTTATGAACGAGGGTGAGACAACAGGAAGTAAGAGAAATCTACCCCTCAGAAAGAAAAGTTGGGCCCCAAATGGTTCTAGCCCAGCTTACCTGTCCGAACATATCTCCCCTTACGAACCACAATTCGTAAGATCATCTGGGGAGGCCCTGCTCTCGGTCCCGCCTTCGTCACAAGCACGTTTGGCGGGGACGAGAGACAGGGCCTTCTCAGTGGTGGCCCCTCGGCTATGGAATGCCCTCCCTAGAGAGATCAGATCTGCTCCCTCCCTCTTGACGTTTCAGAGGCAAGTTAAAACGTGGCTACTCGAGCAAGCGTTTACAAATACAGAGTAGCTAATATAGGAAATTGAATGACCTGACAATGGAACTGGAATAATGAGACGCTGATGATGTTGTTTTTATTGCTTTTGTGATGTCTTATACTGTTTAATGATTTTTTTATCTATATTATTTGTATGTATACTGATTTGTTGGAAACCGCCTTGAGTCGCCAATTGGCTGAGGAAGGCAGTATACAAATACAGTAAATAAATAAATAAATAAATAATAAAATTCACTCCTCAAATGAGTTATCATGGAGAAAAGGTGTCTCCACTGAAGCTGTGTTGCCCCTTGTTTCTACAATGAGCCACATTTTTCAAAATCCAATTATCACAAAGACAGAAAGTGTGGTGAAATCTTCTGAACAGCAAAACAAACCCCACAGGCATGTTAAGGCTTCCCAGTGCTATCCAAACATTTTTTCAGTATAACTCTAACTATCTATTGTTGCTACTAAGAGGTTGCAGCGTACTTTATATAAGTTGTTGTAAGGATCAATGTTATTTGTGCTACAACTTAAAGTTGTTGTAAGGTTCAGGACTGTTTGTGCTACAGCTGTTTCAGTTCATCGAAGAGGTAATTGAGAGCTTTACTTTCATGTGTATAAAGATAGCTACTGTGTGTTTAGTTTCTTTGCCATTGTGCATTTATGCCTTTGTGTGTCTATGCCTCTGCACGTTTTTGCTTTTTTGTCACTTTGCCTTGTGTAAGCCAGGGACTATGCTGCAGATGTCCTGCGAAGACACAGCCATGTGAAGAAGACAAGGATTCCTGCTTACCACAGCTGAGTAAAGATATCTCTCAGAAGATATTATTTTGTGTTACTTTTGTGGAAAGAGCAATCCTGCTATTTTGTTTTGTATGCTGCCAATACTACAATATTTTTCTTTTCTACTTTAAGCTGAAGTCTCATGTGTTTTTCTTTTATGAGCCAAGTCATCACACACAAAGTTAACTGGGCTAGAGTCAATCTGCATGCTACTCATGTTATCGCATGACATCTATCTATCTATATCTGGAGATACACTGAAAAAATGTACCTGTTCTGACTTACAAACAAACTCAATTTAAGAACAAACTTACAGAACCTATCTTGTTGTCTGTAATTTAAAAGAAATCTTCAGATCTCATTTAGTACTAATGACATAAGTTCTAATATCATTGAATCCAAGTCTCGCTTCTCCACAAATCAATGTAAAGGAATACTGCTACCCCTCCAACCCGCAAATCTTTATGAAAACAGGAAACTCTTCTTCACTAAACAACTTAAGACAAAAGGAGAGAGGGAGAAATGGGCTTTCCCCAGGCACTAACTTCAAGACAAAGACTGAAGTTCCCAGAAGAGAAGTTCAACTTTTCCTCTCCCTAAGCCAAGGTCCTCCAAGCTAGGTACCCAAGCTCCCATCTGCATTGGCATATAATGCAGTTTGAGAATGCAGATGAATTCTATTGAACTGGATTATATGACAGTATAGTCTAAAACACGGGTCCTCAAACTAAGGCCCGGGGGCTGGATACGGCCCTCCAAGATCATTTACCCGGCTCTCGCTCAGGGTCAACCTAACCTGAAACAACTTGAAAGCACACAACAACAACTATCCTATCTCATCAGCCAAAAGCAGGCCCACACTTCCCATTGAAATACCAATAAGTTTATATTTGTTTAAATTGTTCTTCATTTTCCTATTTCCAACAGACCTCACTACCTCAGAGGATGCTTGCCATAGATGCAGGCGAAACGTCAGGAGAAATGCCTCTAGAACATGGCCCTATAGCCCGAAAAAACCTACAAGAACCTTGTTCTTCATTTTAATTATTGTATTGTTTTTAAGTGTTTTTTGCACTACCAATAAGATATATGCAGTGTGCATAAGAATTAATTCATGTTTTTTTATTATAATCTGGTCCTCCAATGGTTTGAGGGACTGTGACCCGGCCATCTGTTTAAAAAGTTTGAGGACCCCTGGTCTAAAATAATCTAGTTCGATGCAGTTCAATCTGCATTATATGAGTATACACTGATCATATAATGCAGTTGAAACTGCATTATATGACAGTGTAGGCCCCTTCTACACTGCCACATAAAATCTAGATTATCTGCTTTGAACTGGATTATATGGCAGTGTAGACTTATTCATTTATTTATTTAAAACATTTATATTCTGCCCTTCTTACCCCGAAGGGGACTCAGGGCGGAGTACAGCATATATACGACAAACATTCAATGCCGGGACACAAATTCACATACAATACATAAACATTAAAAAACATTTATCAAAATATTAAAATACACCAGTTAAAACCGTCCTAGTCATCCGCATCAAATCTAATTGGCCTGGTCATCTTTCCTATTGCTGCTTTATTGCCCTGTCCCGAAAGCTTGGTCCCACAGCCAAGTTTTTACCATCCTTCTAAAGGATAGGAGGGAGGGGCCGACCTGATCTCACCAGGAAGGGAGTTCCATATCCGGGGAGCAATCACCGAGAAGGCCCTGTCTTTCGTCCCCACCAATCGTGCCTGTGAGAATGGCGGGACGGAAAGCAGGGCCTCCCCGGAGGATCTTAATCTCCGCGATGGTTCATAGGGGGAGATGCGTTCAGACAGGTAATTTGGGCCAGGGCCATTTAGGGCTTTATAGGCCAAAGCCAGCACTTTGAATTGTATCGACAATACATTAAAATACATCATTTAAAATAACACCATTTAAAACTGTCCTAGCCATCCACATCAAGTCCAATTGGCCCTGTCATCTTTCCCATTGCTGCTTCATTTCCCTGTCCCAAAAGCTTGGTCCCACAGCCAGGTTTTTACCATCCTTCTAAAGGACAGGAGAGAGGGGGCCAACCTGATCTCACCAGGAAGGGAGTTCCACAGCCGGGGAGCAATCACTGAGAAGGCCCTGTCTCTCGTCCCCAACAATCGTGCCTGTGAGGGCCTCCCCGAAGGATCTTAATCTCTGCGATGGTTCATAGCTGATAATGTGGATGATCTGCTTTGATAATCTGGATTAAATGGCAGTGTAGAAGGGGGCCTAGATGGGTCTCCAGAGTTTTCACTCCAGAGCCTTCACTTTCTTTACAGCTGACGATACTGTTTATTGTTTTAATTAATACTTTATGTACTGTTTTAATTAATGCTTTATGTATTTTAATTGTTGTGTATTATTGTAATTGTTTATATGTAGCGGCATCGAACATTGCCAAATGTAAGCCGTCCTGAGTCCCCCTTCGGGGGGTAGAAAAGAGAACAGGTAGAAATACCAGAAATAAATAATAAATACTTTAGTTCTTGTGGTTTTTTCGGGCTATAGAGCCATGTTCTAGAGGCATTTCTCCTGACATTTCGCCTGCATCTATGGCAGGCATCCTCAGAGGTAGTGAGGTCTGTTGGAATTAGGACAATGGGTTTATATATCTGTGGAATGGCTGGGGTGGGGCAAGGAGCTCTTCCCTGCTGCAGTTAGGTGTGAATGTTTCAGCTGATCACCTTCATTAGCATTTGAAGGCCTGCCTGAGCCTGGGAAAATCTCTTGCTGGGAGGTGTTAATCTGTGCCTGGTTGTTTCCTCTCTGTTGTTTTGCTGTTATAATTTTAGAGTTTTTTAAAACTGGTAGCCAGATTTTGTTCATTTTCATGGTCTCTTCCTTTCTGTTGAAATTGTCCACATGCTTGTGGATTTCAATGGCTTCTCTGTGTAGTCTGACATGGTGGTTGTTGGTGTGGTCCAGCATTTCTGTGTTCTCAAATAATATGCTGTGTATGAAAATGAACAAAATCTGGCTACCAGTATTAAAAAACTCTAAAATTATAACAGCTAAACAACAGAGAGGAAAAAACCAGGCACAGATTAACACCTCCCAGCAACAGATTTTCCCAGGCTCAGGCAGGCCTTCAAATGCTAATGAAGGTGATCAGCTAAACATTCACACCTAACTGCAGCAGGGAAGAGCTCCTTGCCCCACCCCAGCCATTCCACAGATATATAAACCCATTTTTCCTACTTCCAACAGACCTCAAACCTCTGAGGATGCTTGCCATAGATGCAGGCGAAACGTCAGGAGAAATGCCTCTAGAACATGGCTCTATAGCCCGAAAAAACCCACAAGAACCTAGTGATTCCAGCCATGAAAGCCTTCGACAATACAATAAATACTTTATTTTTTCTTCTTCTGCTATTGGATTTATGGCTGACTCTCTGCCACACATCCTCAGGAATCTCTGCAAACTGGCCACAGGGGCATAGCTATGGGGAAAGTAATGGGTTTAATTCATAAGCAGACCTCATAGACTTCTTTCATTGCAGCCAGCTTGTCTTCAAACTTCTCCATGCTCCAGAAAGTTGTAACACCCAGCCTGATGTTACGGACCTGCACACAAGGGCCAGTGCCATTTTCTTTATCTGTCGCGTCATGTCTAATGTAAAAAAAAATGAGCTTACACGAAGTATCAATAAAACATGGCCTCCTAAAACATTGGGAGAAGACCACACAGTTAGCAAGGACAACTGTCTAGCAAATAGATGCTGAAGTTTAAATAAAAAGCATACAGTTAGTCAAGAGCATTAAAGAAGTATTTTTGAAATATTTAAATCAATGGGAATGTTACTGATTTTCATTAAATAGGGTTTCCCCAAGGACAAAATCAGCTGGTTTAGACTTATAGACACGGCCTTAATTTAATCATTAAACAACCAGAGCACAGCTTCTAATGTTTTAGTTCAAATACGTACCTGCAAAACACAGTGTGCTTCTCCAGTTTACTGCTAATAGCATTGGCCTCTTTAATCATCATGGATAGTTTCAAAGAATTCCAGTTCGGCTCTGGAATTTTAATTCAGAAAGAAAATGGTTATTTATAACAGAACAGTCAATGATACAAGACTCCTATTTATTTTTTATTTATTAACTTTATTTATACCCCGCAAAATCTCCCGAAGGACTCGATGCGGCAAAGGCCAAGGCCGCCAACAACAACATACAAATATAACAGTAAAATTCATAAGCAAATAATAAAACATCAAGCAAAAACAATAAAACACTAAAACAATGACATCATGACGCAATTAAAACCTAAAGGCCGGGCCAAATGTAATGGACAGAATTTAAAAGCGCTGAACTTGACAGGAGGTATGTAGAGGTTTTTTGGAAGTAGGTGCAATGTGCAGACAATCCTGGTCTCTCACAAAGTGCATTTGGGACGTGATGCCAGGAGTTTCCTAATCTGGAAAGGCACAGGTCTTCAGGCTCTTCCTAAAGATTGCCAACGTTGGGGCTTGTCTGACGTCCTTGGGAAGAGTTCCAGAGTCGGGGGGCCACCACAGAGAAGGCCCTGTCCCTCGTCCCCACCAAATGCGCTTGCGACGCAGGTGGGATCGTGAGCAGGGCCTCTCCAGATGACCGAAGGGAACGCGTGGATTCGTATATGGAGATGCGGTCACGCAAGTAGGCGGGTCCCAAACCGTTTAGGGCTTTGTAGGTGAGCACCTGCACCTTGAATTGGGACCGGAAAATGAACGCCAGCCAATGGAGCTCCTTAAACAGGAGGGTTGACCTCTCTCTGTAAGGAGCGCCAGTTAACAGCCTGGCCGCCGACCGTTGAAGCAGTTAAAATTTCCGAGCCGTTTTCAAGGGCAGCCCCACGTAGAGTGCATTACAGTAGTCCAGTCTAGAGGTGACTAAGGCATGGACCACCCCGGCCAGATAAATAACCTGGAATTAGCCACCTTGCAAATGGTCTGCTAGATATTACATGTATACAACACTTGAGTGTGTTCCTTTGTTAGAGGCACTTTTTAGTAAGTATGAAACCTATTTTAGGCCCTCAGTGTAAAATATCCATCAATGAGAAAAATGATCTAATTGGACTCCTAACTAGAGATAGGGAGGACTGGGGAAAAATCAGAAAAATATGGGGAGGGGATAGTTTTTCCCCCATTTTTCCAGGAGTTTTTCAGGCTTTCCCATCTCTACTCCTAACACTTCTCCACACTTCCTCTTATACATTTATTCCTACTGGTTCAGAGGATATTCTCAAAGCTTTCCTTATTTTCAACATGGAAGAGGCAAGTGCTGTGAAGTCCCAGAATATACATAAATACTGGTCCCACCATCCTCTGGGATCACTAACATTGAGAAAATGAGAAGACCCATGTGTCCAAAACACTAGATGCATGGCATCTGTAATATTAATTTAAGGTTAACATTTATTATGGCATGAGCTTTCATTTACAACAGGCCACCTCATTGATTGCATGGAGTATCCAAAGTTTGTATCCAATTACATGTTTTATACTTGTGAATGTTGTTCAGAAAGGTCTTCAATTCAGTTTCATCAGCATAGATTGATTTGCTTCCTGCCTCTTCTAGATTCTTACTGACACTGAGATCACACCAATGATCTTATGAAAAGTGAGCCTTATTTACAAATGCAAAATGTAATGCCTGCCATGTATACTGCATAGTTCACGTGGATCGCGTAATTGGTGGGGACGAGAGACAGCGCCTTCTCAGCAGTGGCCCCCCATCTGTGGAACTCCCTCTCTAAGGACATCAGGCTGGCCACCTCCCTACTGTCCTTCAGGAGACAACTGAAGACCTGTACGTGGGACCAGGCGTTCGACTAGAGCAGTGATTCTCAACCTGTGGGTCCCCAAGTGTTTTGGCCTACAACTCCCAGAAATCCCAGCCAGTTTACCAGCTGTTAGGAATTCTGGGAATTGGAGGCCAAAACATCTGGGGACCCACAGGTTGAGAACCACTGGACTAGAGGCATTGACCAGAGGACAGTGGCAGCTTGGAAAGGAAACTTGAACATTACGACATTGGATTTGTTTGGCTGGATCTTGGTTTTAGCGGCGTGTTAGTTGTATGTTAAATGAATTTTTTGATAATTTTTATAATGTTTTAATCAAGCTTTACTGTTTTTAATTGAATATTTATGTTGACATCATCACTGATCCTTATGCAAAGCCGCCCTGAGTCCCCTTGTGGGAGAAAGACGGGGTAGAAATGAAGGAAATAAATGAATAATAAATAAATAAATTGCTTCTGACTTATGTCGGAGTCTGACATAGAGAGAAACCCTACCTATATTTGAATTTGTATCAGTTTTCAAAACAAAGGTGTGTTTGAGTACTAGGCAAAACCCACTATTTCATGCAAGCATAACACTCAGCCGATTTGCTTCTCAGAAAACAGATGGAAAAGAGCTATACATACTTCGAGAAGAGTTGTTGTTGTTATTATTATTATTATTATTAGCATCATCATTATTTATATGGCTAACAACCCACACTACACAAGTTTAAAAAGAGCAATACAAAAGTGAAAAGACAATTAAATAATAACAGTGTGATAAAAACAGAATTAAAATACAGTAATACACCAAAACGGCCTTTAAAACTTAAGGCCCGTTGAATTCTAAGGAGCTTCCATTTAGTAAACACTACATTATGAAAGGCAGTTCATGCAATAGCGAATGGAATATCAAAGAAGGGCAGGACATTGAGCAAAAATATGAATCTCTGTAAATTCAACATACATTTATTTTCTAGTTACTGTGAGGAAATGATACTATCCCTTATTTGAGATGCTTGCAACAAAAATGCTTTGGATTTCAGGGTTTATTTTCAGATCTTGAATACCTCTATTTGCAAACCAAAGGGTGTCACTATTTCAGCCGTCTACAATTTTCTGAATTATAACTAAAGGATGTTCAGCCCATGTTTCAATACAAGGTTGTGAAGCATTCCTTCACAATGTCTGTTTGAGAGAAGAAATATTATATTGATATTATTTGTTAGCAATAACAATACTGGTAAATGTGTTGCAAAATTAAGTTGCACCTTTTTTCCTATTTCCCCGATTTTGTTGAAGAGTTTGAACTTCCTGAGCAATTTTCTGCTTCTCGGCCTCCAAAGCTTCAAGTATCTTGGCATGGCGGATTGTGTGATCTTCTAAAACCTAGCACAAAACAAGGATTATGAGCTTTTCCTGTGAAAGTAAACCAGCTTTTGAAAAGCAGCAGTGCTACTTAAATAATATAGTTTTTAATTCTTAGATTTCTCTACCAGACTTCTATTCCATCCCAGTTTAAAGCAAATATATAACTTGCCTTGCCTTAAAATGCATAAAATGTATACACTAGAAAATCTGCATTTAATATAAATAGATATAATAATAATGAATTGTTTCATGCATAATTCATACTTTGGAACTAGTGGTGATCGTGTTTAGACACAGAAACATGCATTTATCTGACTTGGCCACGGTGGTCCACGCTCTGGTTACATCCCGTATAGACTACTGCAACGCTCTCTACGTGGGGTTCTCTGAAGACTGCCCGGAAGCTTCAACTAGTCCAACGAGCGGCAGCCAGATTACTAACTGGAGCGGGACACAGGGAGCATAGCCAGCTCCTCTGACTGCCAATTAGCTTCCGAGCACAATTCAAAGTGCTGGTGTTGACCTATAAATCCCTAAACGACTCCGGCCCAGTTTACCTGTCCGAACACATTCTCCCCTATGAACCATCAAGGTTGTTAAGATCTTCTGGAGGGGCCCTGGTCTCGGTCCCACCACCCTTGCAAGTGCGTCTGGTGGGGATGAGGGACAGGTCCTTCTCAGTGGTGGCCCCTTGGCTCTGGAACTCTCTCCTACTGGAGATTAGAACTGCCCCTTCTCTCCTGACTTTTAGAAAATTGATGAAAACCTGGCTCTGGAATTTAGCATTTGATGAGTAAGTCAATAACTTTTGACCACACAGACGGATGGTAATGAATAATGAATTGTGATTTTTCTTTGATGACTTGGACTTAGGTAATTATATGACTGCTTTTTAATGTATTTTATGTATTAGTATGTTATGGGGTGTGATGTTTTTAAACTACTGTTCATGAATCTTGTTGTAAACCGGCCTTAGTCCCTCTCCGGAGGTGAGAAGTTCTAAATAAATAAAAGTTCTAAATAAATAATAAATAAATAATAAATAAATAAATTTAATTTCAAGAACAAAGAACTAATTAAAACTATAGTCAGCCCTCCACATTTTCTGGGTTTGGGGGTACAGGACCTCTGCAAAAGTGAAAAACCATGAATAAAACAACACTTTTTATATCTAAGAGATCAGCTAGGAATCTCTACATCAAATGGAGCAGGTCAAAGTGTTCAAAACCCCAGTTCTGAGTGTACTGCATACTTACAATGGTTATCCTTAGAATAAATCCTTATGCTACATTTGCAGGGAGAGATTCAAAACATTTTCTTTCACACTCACATTTCCAAAGAGCGATGTTTAAAGAGGTCTCTGTTCTGTTCAATAAGATTCCAAATATCTGAGCCTGCACTGAATGCTTACATAGAGCAGCCCCAGGATAAGCTTTTGCAATGGCCCAGTTCTGACTGATACGTCAGCACTGCATCCAAGTTATATAAACTCTCACTTGGCAAATATCAGACAAGTTTATGAAAAGAGAAAGCTAGAGGACAATTGAGACGTTTACTTAAGGCTAGACAAGATAGAATTTAGTGAATCAGTAAGTTCTCTATCAAGGTACATTGTCCAATTGATGAGACAGGATGCTGGGGTCTGTTATTTTGCTTTTACATGTACCTCTTTGGCAGCCAACGTTTCCATTTCCAAGCGCTTCTTGTTGAAGTTAACCTCTAGCTCAAGGCCTCGCTTAGCTTTCTCCAATTCTTGAATTTTATTTGCAGTCATTTGATTATTCATTTCCTGCAGTTGTTTCCTACGGGATTCTTCCTGCTAAGAAAACACAAGAGAACATGATTTATATGTATGTATGCATTTATTTATTTAGAGTATTTACATTCCGCCCTTCTCAGCCCACAGGGGACTCAGGGCGGATTACAGTGTACACATATATGGCAAACATTCAATGCCAATTTTGACATACAACATGTACAGACATACACAGAGGCTATTAAACTTTTTCTGGCCGCCAGGGGAGCTGTCGCTTTCATCGTCCATCTGCAACACTGATGAAGTACTTCCGCATTCCCCGCATGCTTTTTTGCTGGAGTGCTTTGCTGGAGTCTTTTTTTATGGCTTCATAAATTAGTTTATTTAGTCTCCCCACACAAGGTGGTACCTAATTTTCCTACTTGACAGATGCAACTGTCTTTCGGGTTGCAAAGGTTGACAACAGGCTACACAATTGGTTGGAAACCCACTCAAACCCGGGCTGGCTTTAGTTTGGGATATTATTAATAGTAATATTAGTTAAGAAATACATTTCTCTTTTAGCATGTATTATTATTATTATTATTATTATTATTATTATTATTATTATTATTTCAGAAATAAGCTTCTTCTTTAGTTTGCAATATTCTTATAAGTTCAGCAATAAGTTTTTCCTAGAAGATTTATTATTATTATTATTATTATTATTATTATTATTATTATTATTATTTGGAAATAAGCTTCCCCTTTAGTTTGGGATATTATTAGTAATATTAGTTCAGAAATAAGTTTCTCTTTTAGCATGTATTATTATTGTTATTGTTTCAGAAATACGCTTCTCCTTTAGGATATTATTATTGTCAAGTTCAGAAATAAGCTTCTCCTTTAGTTTGGGATTGAGCCTGTTTTTATTAGTATAGCCAGTCCCTGAGTTACAAACATCCGACTTACAAATGACTCACTACCTCTGAGGATGCCTGCCATAGATGCAGGGGAAACGTCAGGAGAGAATGTCTCTAGAAAATAGCCATATAGCCCAAAAAAAAAAAAACCTACAACAATCCAGTGATTCCAGTCATGAAAAGCCTTCGACAATACATTTCATGGGAAAGTCACAAGTCTGAACAGGAAAGCTTCACTCCTACATACTCTCTTTCCATGTAATAGGAGCAAACAAGTCAGGGTTCCCGTCATATGAAAAGTGGGTTGTTGTAGGTTTTTTCGGGCTATATGGCCATGTTCTAGAGGCATTCTCTCCTGAGAATGCCTCTAGAACATGGCCACATAGCCAAAAAAAACAACAACCCAGTGATTCCGGCCATGAAAGCCTTCAACAATACATATGAAAAGTGTTCACATGTATGGGAAGCTCTCCAGTTCAAGCTTAGTACTCTTCACATGTTGACTGATAGTAAGCTTATTCGTTATCAGCCAACAATGTAATGATCAGATCAGATCAGAACTGGACGACTAAATATAAGTCTTTTGGTGACAGTTGGAAGATATTTTGGCAGGGCAGGAAAAGTCTTTTCAACCTCTTGAAAATAATATTTGTGTGTTCGCTCATTTCATATAACCATATAAACATTGGTTCTGTAGAATACTGCTCAGACCAAAAGCTACAAAAACTACAAAACATCACTTATACAAGTAGCTGGCAAAATGGCAAATGCAATTAATAAAATAAGCTTTATTGCTTCAGTGGAAAAAAATCATGTTCCTATTAATTAGCAGCACAACCCACTACCTATCTATATTATAGTTTATACCTATATATTCTTTTCCTCCTGCAAAGATGTTGATACAGTCAGACTACATATCCTCATCAGCACTTCAGGGATTTTTCTAATATTTCGAATTAGCTGGATGGACTATTGCAGATGCACATGGTGACGAGACCTCCGGTTCCCCCACTAAGAGTCGCTTTCTGTAGGTTCATGGCCATTCACTTTAAAATATTCATTAATGACTTACCAACCGTGCTTCTAATGATTTTATCCGAGTCTCATAATTTTTCTGCTGAGAACAAAGTTCTTCCTGAGCCATTTCTTTTGCAATTTGGATTCCTTGTATCATCTCTTCCTTAGCTTTCAGCCTCGCTTCTTCTATTTCTGATTCAAGTCTAGGAGCATTTATAAAAGCAACATAAATACTATACTTCCCAAATACACTGCCATGGCTATTTTCATATCAGTTTTACACAGGAAACTCCAGACAGAGGAAAGGAGAAAAATATTTGTATATGACTGTACATTTTGATAACTGTCTTCCCAATCCACATTTGCAGGTTGGACTTTTGCAAAATTGATTATTCATAAATTCATTAAAATGTTCTCCCTAGGAATCTCGATAAAATAGTGAAGAGTAGAGACATCAGACTGGCAACAAAGATCCGCCTAGTCAAAGCCATGGTATTCCCTGTAGTAACCTACGGATGTGAGAGCTGGACTTTAGGGAAGGCTGAGCGAAGGAAGAGAGATGCTTTTGAGCTGTGGTGTTGGAGGAAAGTTCTGAGAGTGCCTTGGACTGCGAGAAGATCCAACCAGTCCATCCTCCAGGAAATAAAGCCCGACTGCTCATTGGAGGGAAGGATACTAGAGACAAAGTTGAAGTCCTTTGGCCACATCATGAGGAGACAGCAAAGCCTAGAGAAGACAATTATGCTGGGGAAAGTGGAAGGCAAAAGGAAGAGGGGCCGACCAAGGGCAAGATGGATGGATGGCATCCTTGAAGTGACTGGACTGACCTTGAAGGAGCTGGGGGTGGTGACAGCCGACAGGGAGCTCTGGCGTGGGCTGGTCCATGAGGTCACGAAGAGTCGGAGACGACTGAACGAATGAACAACAACAAATCTCTAGATCCTCCAGTCTGACTCTATAGTCTACTTCTACCAGATTGACCATAAAGTCACATCGGAGAACCTACAAATTCCTAGAGAGATGTTCTCTCAGGTAAAACACAGCATTTTGTTTTTATTTATGGTTGACTACAACTCTGAAGGAGAGTTGCAATCTGGGGGGGAAAAGGATGAAGTTCTGCTGTGGTCACCATTACCCACCCATCCACCCCTTTAAGTGTTTTTATTTATTTTTATTTGAATTGTTCATCATAAAGCCTTAACAAGAGGTCCCCAAACTAAGGCCTGCAGGCTGGATGCAGCCCTCCAAGGTCATTTACCCACTCTAAATTTTAGTCTTTGGGTTGCGCTAAGTCTGAAATGACTTGAAGGTACACAACAATAACAATCCTGATTAATTTGACTATATCATCAGCCAAAAGCAGACCCACATTCCCCATGAAATACTGATCAGTTGGTTAAAATTTTTCTTAATTTTAAATATTGTATTGTTCTTTCATGCTTTTTTGCATTACAAATAAGATATGTGCAGTGTGCATAGGAATTTGTTCATTTTTTTCTTTCAAACTATAGTCTGGCCCCTCCAACAATATGAGGTACCGTGAACCAGTTCTCAGCTTAAAAAGTTTGAGGTCCCCTGGCCTAAACCTTCCATTTCTCAGTTTCCACATGTTTTCAAAATATAGAATAGAAAGGTACAACTGACTGGCATAAACATTTTTACCTACAACCTGCAGAAAAAAGAACATGACATATGGGGTTTTTTTCCATTTATGTATTGTTGTGTGTTTGAAAAAAAAGGGCAAGCAATATTCGTACCATAAGAAGGAAGAATATCTATTAATACTCACTGAGCTCTTTGTGCAGACAGTAATTCGTTTTTTGCAAATTCAAAGCCCTTTTGACCATCCTCATGGAGACCAGCCCCACAAGATTGACTTTTTATTTTCTGAACTTCTACTGGATGATTGAACCTAAAATAGTGGTCACCTCCAAGAATGATCCGGTCACCCTGTAAGATTCGGAAAATATTCATTGGGGAAATTAAGTTGTATTGCACTAAGGAATCCAGAATCTACTAGAAATTGCATTATAGCACATGGGTTAATATATCTGTGCCAAAATCTACACATAAATGAATTTGTTCATGCATATTCCAGTCTACTTACATGATGTAGATCCGTAGTGCCCAAAATGCATTTCCCATTCACATACGTCTTTGCATCTTCCAGTGGGATGATACTAACAGCACCAGCCACATGTTTGATAATGCTACAAATAAAATAAATATTCTGTTATCACAACAAAGTCTTACAATTACGAAATATATGTTCATTTTAGAACATTCCCAAAGATCAAGATCTGCACAGATGATTATTTTCCCAGTATATTTTTTGTTTCGCCATTTATTACATCAGAAGCTCCTTCTAAGACAACTCTCTTTTTGAAATATTGGGAGAAGTTGGTGTTCAAGGCAAGGAGGGGGGATTGAGTTCTTGGCTTGCTGAAATTTATGAAACTAACTTCCCTTGTTCTTACAATCACAGCTATTACTCACACTGCAGCAGAGCAACCAAGGTTTTAAATATTGTATGTTGTTCGATTGACTTTTGTTCTTGTTGTGAACCGCGTTGAGTCGCCTATGGGCTGAGAAACTGCGGTATACAAGCAAAGTAAATAAATAAATAAAATAAAGATGCTTGAACAAAATGGAATTTTAAGAAGTTGCATGACTTGGTACAAAGATACTGCGAGATCCTAAGAACAGTCATGCTGTATCAAGCTATAACTTCATCTGGTTAAGCATCCTATTTTCCATAGCAACCAATATATTTTTTCTAGGAATCAGAACAAAGAAAGGAAGAGTCCTTCTGGATCTGACCGAAGTACATTTATGTATTTATTTACTTCATTTCTACCCCGGAGGGGACTCAAGGCGACTTATAAATCCGGCAAAAATTCAATGCCACAAAGGTAAACAATAAAACACATCTCTATTCGCACCATTGTAGTCAAATAAAATAAAATAGTAATAGCACAGAAATTGAGAGAAAAAGATCTGCCAAAAATAGAGGACTGGCTCATTAAAATAGCAGAATATATGAACATGGACACACTGTCACAACTATTAAAAGACCAGAATAAATCAAGCAAAACAGACTGGAAGTCATTGGGAATGTATCTACAGGAGAAAATGAAGTGGAATAAATATTTAAAAAACAGGTATTGTACAACCAACACAATAAGTTACCAAATACAACTAGGTAGTGGAACGTAAAGAAATGAATGCAGTTATGAAAGAATACCTCTCTGTGGAATGGACTGGAAGGCCACAACTCCCCTACCCCTCATCCCTACCTAATCCATCCCCTGCCCCAATCCTCACCACCCACCTTAACACATCCCTCCCTTCCACTATTCTTTCCTACTTTCCTATACATCCGATATGTTCCCCCTCTTTTTAAACAGGGGCTGGATGGCCATCAGTCAGGGGTGCTTTGAATGCAATATTCTGCTTCTTGGCAGGGGGTTGGACTGGATGGCCCATGAGGTCTCTTCCAACCATATGATTCTATGATATGGAATTTTATAACACTCTTGTCATTGAGAACATTATGAAAAAATGGTATTCCTGTATTTCATCCAGATATTTGGGGCAAACAATGGAGAATGGTGAAGTGTTTCAACAGAGACCAAGTCACAAGAACAAATCCTTTTGGAGCATTCCATGTTTTTATATCTCCCATCCAGAAGAGCTGATTGCAACACATTACATCTTGCAGTCGCCAAAGCTCTCCACTGGGTGGGATTAATCAAAATGCAAAGAGATGCTGCCATGACTCCACGCTCACATGGAATTAATGATGTGGTAGGGGAACAAGTTTTCTTTGGTAGAGGAGTCAGATTATGAAAGTCAAGATCCAAAAGTCTGCTCTTGACTGACTTGCAGGCTTCCAAATCTGTAAGCAGTAAACAGTGCTTCTAAAAACAGGCCAATTGCTTTGTTCTTTCTGAGAACCAAAAAATACCATTCTGAAATAAAATGATTTGATAACAGAGAGGGAATATAGCTATCAGGGTCTGCTTGAAAATGTATATGCAGCCAGGATTGTATAGCTCTCATCCATGCCAAAGTTTCAAAAGTAGTTTGACCCGCCTCAATGTATAGCACAGCATAAGGCAACATCTAGTTTCCAGAGAAACTTGGAATGTAGTGCATTAAATTATTTATTGATTGCAGAAATCCAAATAAGGAAGCCATACAGTAGCAGAGAACCAACTCTAACTCCAGTCCATTTAGTTCTGCATTCCAGGCATTATTCTCTCCATGCAGAATCTATATAAATAAAAATGTAATGTTCATTTGTGGGATTAACATAACTCAAAAACCACTGGACGAATTGCCGCCAAATTTGGCCACAAGATACCTACTAACCCAAGGAGTGACTATCACTCAAAATAAGGTGATTTTGTCATTTGTGAGTTGTAGCTGCTAGGATTTATAGTTAACCTATCCATTTTGAACTCCAGCAATGATGGAATTGAACCAAACGTGGCATAACAGGAGTCCCATGACCAACAGATAACACTAGAAGGGTTTGGTGAGCATTGACCTTGAGTTTGGGAGTCATAATTCACCTATATCCAGAGAGCACTGTGGACTCAAACAATGATGGATCTGGACCAAACTTGGTACAAATATTGCATATGCCCAAATATGAACACGGATGGAGTTTGGGGGAGATAGACCTTGACATTTGGGAGTTGTAGTTACTGGGATTTATAGTTCACCTACAATCAAAGAGCATTCTGAACCCCACCAACGACAGAATTGGGGCAAACTTCCCATACTGAACCCCCATGACCAACAGAAAATACTTAAGGCCATCCAGCTCAACTCCCTTCACCAGGGCAAGAAAACGTAATCAAAGCCCTCTCAACAAAGAGCCGCCCAGCCATAGATATAGATAGATAGATAGATAGATAGATAGATAGATAGATAGATAGATATGATTCACACACACACACAGATATAGTATCTGTGTGTGTGTGTATAGATTTGAAAGGGACCCCTAGAGAAGGTCAATGATATGTTGCATGTTCCAGAGTAGGCAAACCAGACAATCACCACATCAACACTGACAAAGGAAACAGCAAGAAATAGTGTTTACCCACAAGCATAAAAACATTACATATATTAGAAACCAACACTTTCTCATTACTTTATTTTCCAGATCACCAGACTGGGCCACAGCAACACGTGGCAGGGGACAGCTAATTGTACTTAAATCTATGCAACCTCATGCAAACACTTTTTAAAGTTGCCTTTAGAAAAAATTGTACACCTACCAATGGTCATCAGCAATTAAGATGCCAGAGAGCTGAATATCATGGCGTGAATTTGGCTTGCACCTTCCAACAGTCGTTTGTCCTTCCTTAATCATGTAAAGCAACATCTCAGAGAGTTGGGGATCTTCACTGAGATTGACCAAGTTAGGCAGGCTGTTGTCCACCTTGAACGTAATACCTGCTTTCTAAAATGAAGGAGTTAGACAAGTGAGATATTCTTTTGGAGGGCCCAAAGTAGTATGCTAAAGTTATTTATCTACCTTTAGAAAAATAATAAAGGCAAAGGAGAAGAACAGCAGTTGGAAAAGTTCGATATTTTGCATCAACACCTGCATTTCTTTGAAAGGTTGGTACCTGTAACTCCATCGTTTCCTCGAATTTCTTCTTCTCTGCTTGTTCAAGTTTTTCTTTCCAAGCCCTTTTTTAATCAGAGGGAAGAAGAAAATAGTTGAGTTAGATTATTTTGCAAATATTTTTTCAAAAGTTATTAAAAATTTTAAAAATTGATACAACTAAGCAACACTTGTGCCCTTCTGCTCCATAGATCAATATAAGTAATGGCCACCATCATCTTCTTATAACAGGAAGTTTGCAAATCACAGAGAATTGATCCATTTTGAAAAGATAACATTAGGCGGTTTTTAAAAAAAATATTAGTAATTTTGTAGCATTAAACCAAAACACTTGGAAGAACCTGATAACAACTTGAGCTTAACACTTATGTCACTTATGTCAACTTGGGAAAATGTCCAAAAATAAAGTGTGAAATTAATACAATGTTAATATACATTTTATAAGTATATAAGTAGCTCAAGGTCTGGGAAAATGTTACTTTAAAAAAACTATTATTATTATTATTAACTTTATTTATACCCCGCAAAAATCTCCCTCCACCACCTTGTCCACTCGTAATGCTGGTTAGAGTGATTTTGAATAGTCAAAATCTAAACTATTTCCTGCCTCTAAACAGTCCTATAAGAGATTGTGCTAGAAACAGGACACCCACAGGAACACGTCAATCAACGATGGACTTGCCCACATTAATAAATTCTGATTTAATATTAATAAAGCAATCAAGAGAATTGCCAGAGCAGCAATTCTACCTGATGCATTTGTTGAAATATAAATAATCAATCAATAACAGGCACAAAAATTAATTATACTATACAACAAACATAGTATTAACTAAGTATTGTTGCAAAGAGTTTTCCACACCTGGAGATTTCCACAGAAATATGTTGTCACGGCTTACATCTTAAATGTCCTAACATTTAAGGAATAGATGCAAAGAGATGGCTTTTTAATTTTTAAGCATTAATGTATGTTTATTGATGAAAAGTTGATCAGCAGCTGCTCAGTATAGTTTGACGACAGATTAAACATTAATGAGAATTGGCTCCCACTAAAATGAGTGAAAAGTTATCAATAACCAGGTTCTTGTGGGTTTTTTCGGGCTATAGAGCCATGTTCTAGAGGCATTTCTCCTGACGTTTCGCCTGCACCTATGGCAAGCATCCTCAGAGGTAGTGAGGTCTGTTGGAATTAGGACAATGGGTTTATATATCTGTGGAATGGCTGGGGTGGGGCAAGGAGCTCTTCCCTGCGGCAGTTAGGTGTGAATGTTTCAGCTGATCACCTTCATTAGCATTTGAAGGCCTGGCTGAGCCTGGGAAAATCTCTTGCTGGGAGGTGTTAATCTGTGCCTGGTTGTTTCCTCTCTGTTGTTTTGCTGTTGTAATTTTAGAGTTTTTTAATATGGTAATCTACTCCAGCAAAGGCTCACCGCCTTGTCGGGGCGCTGGAGCTTGAGCACCTCAATGATGTCATGAGCGAAACCGTGAAGGGACACCCAAGACGGGACGGTTGTGGCAGAGAGGTCAGACCAAGCGTGATCCCTGGGGAAGGCAATGGCAAACCACTCCAGTATCCTTGCCAAGAAAACTAAATGGACCAGTACAACCAGAGATATGTTGGTATGCCATTGGAAGATGGGACTCCCAGGTCGGAAGATGGCCAAAATGCTACTGGGGAGGAGCAGAGGATAAGTTCAACTAGCCCCAGATGTGATGACGCAGCTAGCTCAAAGCAGAAAGGAAGGCTAGCGGCCGACGGTACTGGAGGTGAACGACAATGCAAGATCAACACACCATAGGAACCTGGAATGTAAGATCTATGAGCCAGGGCAAATTGGATGTTGTTATTGGTGAGATGTCAAGACTAAAGATAGACATTCTGGGGGTCAGCGAACTGAAATGGACTGGAATGGGCTACTTCACATCAGATGACCACCAGATCTACTACTGCGGACAAGAGGAACATCGAAGAAATGGAGTAGCCTTCATAATTAATAAGAAATTCGCTAAAACGGTGCTTGGATACAACCCAAAAAATGACAGAATGATCTCAATTCGAGTGCAAGGAAAGCCTTTCAACATTACAGTGATCCAAATATACGCCCCAACCACAGCTGCTGAAGAAGCAGAAGTAGATCAGTTCTATGAGGATCTGCAGGACCTACTGGATAATACACCAAAAAGAGACATTATTTTCATTACAGGAGACTGGAATGCCAAGGTGGGAAGTCAAATGACAACAGGGATCACAGGCAAGCATGGTCTGGGAGAACAAAATGAAGCGGGACGCAGGCTGATAGAATTTTGCCAGGAAAACTCGCTGTGTATAACGAATACTCTCTTCCAACAACCTAAAAGACGGCTTTACACATGGACCTCTCCAGACGGTCAACACCGAAATCAGATTGACTACATCCTTTGCAGCCAAAGGTGGCGGACATCCATCCAGTCGGTGAAAACAAGACCTGGGGCTGTCTGTAGCTCAGATCACGAACTTCTTATTGCTCAATTTAGAATAAAACTAAAGAGATCAGGGAAAATACACAGACCAGTTAGATATGATCTCACTAACATTCCTAGCGAATATACAGTGGAAGTGAAGAACAGATTTGAAGGACTAGATTTAGTAAACAGAGTCCCAGAAGAACTATGGACAGAGTCCGAGACATTGTTCAGGAGGCGGCAACAAAGTACGTCCCAAAGAAAAAGAAAACCAAGAAGGCAAAATGGTTGTCTGCTGAGACACTGGAAGTAGCCCAAGCAAGGAGGAAAGCAAAAGGAAACAGGGATAAGGGGAGATATGCCCAGTTAAATGCGCAATTCCAGAGGTTAGCCAGAAGAGATAAGGAACTATTTTTAAATAAGCAATGCATGGAAGTTGAAAAAGACAACAGAATAGGAAGGACAAGAGACCTCTTCCAGAAAATTAGAAACATTGGAGGTAAATTTCAGGCAAAAATTGGTATGATAAGAAACAAAGATGGCAGGGACCTAACAGAAGCTGAAGAGATCAAGAGAAGGTGGCGAGACTATACAGAAGATCTGTATAGGAAGGATAATAATATTGAGGATAGTTTTGACGGTGTGGTGAATGAATTAGAACCAGACATCCTGAGGAGTGAGGTTGAATGGGCCTTAAGAAGCATTGCTAACAACAAGGCAGCAGGAGACGACGGGATTCCAGCTGAACTGTTTAAAATCTTAAAAGATGATGCTGTCAAGGTGATGCAGGCCATTTGCCAGCAAATATGGAAAACACAAGAATGGCCATCAGACTGGAAAAAATCAACTTATATCCCCATACCAAAAAAGGGAAATGCGAAAGACTGCTCAAACTTCCGTACAGTGGCCCTTATTTCTCATGCCAGTAAGGTAATGCTCAAGATCCTGCAAGGAAGACTCCAGCAATACATGGAGCGAGAGTTGCCAGATGTTCAAGCTGGGTTTAGAAAAGGCAGAGGAACGAGAGACCAGATTGCCAATATCCGCTGGATAATGGAGAAAGGCAGGGAGTTTCAGAAAAACATCTACTTCTGCTTCATTGACTATTCTAAAGCCTTTGACTGTGTGGATCATAATAAATTGTGGCAAGTTCTTAGTGGGATGGGCATCCAAAGCCACCTTGTCTCTCTCCTGAGGAATCTGTACAAGGACCAAGTAGCAACAGTAAGAACTGACCACGGAACAACAGACTGGTTCAAGATTGGGAAAGGCGTACGGCAAGGCTGCATCCTCTCACCCAACCTTTTTAACCTGTATGCAGAACACATCATGCGATGTGCGGGGCTGGATGAATGCAAAGCTGGGGTGAAAATTGCTGGAAGAAACATTAACAACCTCAGATATGCAGATGACACCACTCTGATGGCCGAAAGCGAGGAGGAGCTGAGGAGCCTTCTAATCAAGGTGAAAGAAGAAAGCGCAAAAGCCGGGTTGCAGCTAAACGTCAAAAAAAACCAAGATTATGGCAACAAGAATGATTGACAACTGGAAAATAGAGGGAGAAAATGTGGAGGCCGTGACAGACTTTGTATTTCTAGGTGCAAAGATTACTGCAGATGCAGACTGTGGCCAGGAAATCAGAAGACGCTTACTTCTTGGGAGGAGAGCAATGTCCAATCTCGATAAAATAGTAAAGAGTAGAGACATCAGACTGGCAACAAAGATCCGCCTAGTCAAAGCCATGGTATTCCCTGTAGTAACCTACGGATGTGAGAGCTGGACCTTAGGGAAGGCTGAGCGAAGGAAGATCGATGCTTTTGAGCTGTGGTGTTGGAGGAAAGTTCTGAGAGTGCCTTGGACTGCGAGAAGATCCCACCAGTCCATCCTCCAGGAAATAAAGCCCGACTGCTCACTGGAGGGAAAGATACTAGAGACAAAGTTGAAGTACTTTGGCCACATCATGAGGAGACAGGAAAGCCTAGAGAAGACAATTATGCTGGGGAAAGTGGAAGGCAAAAGGAAGAGGGGCCGACCAAGGGCAAGATGGATGGATGGCATCCTTGAAGTGACTGGACTGACCTTGAGGGAGCTGGGGGTGGTAACGGCCGACAGGGAGCTCTGGCTTGGGCTGGTCCATGAGGTCACGAAGAGTCGGAGACGACTGAACGAATGAACAACAAAGCCAGATTTTGTTCATTTTCATGGTCTCTTCCTTTCTGTTGAAATTGTCCACACGCTTGTGGATTTCAATGGCTTTTCTGTGTAGTCTGATATGGTGGTTGTTGGTGTGGTCCAGCATTTCTGTGTTCTCAAATAATATGCTGTGTCCAGGCTGGTTCTCAAATAATATGCTGTGTCCAGCTGTGGACAAGTCTACATAGGGACCACCAAACGCAGCGCTCAGACACGCATCAAGGAACATGAAAGGCACTGCAGACTACTTCAACCAGAGAAGTCAGCCATAGCAGAGCACCTGATGAACCAGCCTGGACACAGCATATTATTTGAGAACACAGAAATGCTGGACCACACCAACAACCACCATGTCAGACTACACAGGAAGCCATTGAAATCCACAAGCATGTGGACAATTTCAACAGAAAGGAAGAGACCATGAAAATGAACAAAATCTGGCTACCAGTATTAAAAAACTCTAAAATTACAACAGCACAACAACAGAGAGGAAACAACCAGGCACAGATTAACACCTCCCAGCAAGAGATTTTCCCAGGCTCAGGCAGGCCTTCAAATGCTAATGAAGGTGATCAGCTGAAACATTCACACCTAACTGCAGCAGGGAAGAGCTCCTTGCCCCACCCCAGCCATTCCACAGATATATAAACCCATTGTCCTAATTCCAACAGACCTCACTACCTCTGAGGATGCTTGCCATAGATGCAGGCGAAACGTCAGGAGAAATGCCTCTAGAACATGGCTCTATAGCCTGAAAAAACCCACAACAACCTAGTGATTCCAGCCATGAAAGGCTTCGACAATACATTATCAATAACTGATTGAATTTCCATTAATTTCTGTGAGATTTAGGCCCCTCCTACACTGCCATATAATCCAGATTATCAACACAGATAATCCACATTATGTGCTTTGAACTGGATGATATGAGGCCCCTTCTACACTGCCATATAATCCAGATTATCAAAACAGATAATCCACATTATCTGCTTTGAACCGGATTATATGAGTCTACACTGCCAGATAATACAGTTTAAAGATGATAATCTGGATTTTATATGGAAGTGTAGAAGGGGCCTTAGTTGCACATAACCAAGTAGATCCAACCCTATGTATTTGATTTATTACGCCTATGTACTGAATATCTATTTATGCATACTGCACCTAAACAGACTGCGTCCAAACTGTACCGAAACAGACTGCATTGTAATTGTATTGTATTAATATGTACATAATGATAAGGGGATTAGCAATTCACTTTACTCAGACATTCACAAGCTCCCTGACCTTTGCATCTCAGCCATCTCTCTCTCTTGATGGTGGAGTTTCATTCTTAGGGATGTTATTTCTTGAACATAAGCTCTCTGTTTTTCAGGATCCACATTCTGAAGATTCTTTTGAGCCAATTTCAGTTTCTCAATTTCCGCTTTCAAGTCTGTATTCAACAAGAAGACACAACAAAAGAATTCCTATATTAAACATTTTGGTGAGATGTCCTAGGTCAACGGACGCTGAGAGAGAAAAAAACATTTTCTAAGAATCAGCCTACAGACTCACACTGAAGATGGAATTCTTATCAAGAAGTTAAAGCCATTGAATTCTTGGCCTTAACTTCTTCCAGGGAGCCACTGGTGGCGCAGTTCTTCCCTGGAAGAAGTGCCAGCAGGACTGCTGACTGAAAGGTCGATGGTTCAGATCCGGAGAGCGGGGTGAACGCCAATCTGTCAGCTCCAGCTTCCTTTTCGGAGACAAGAGAGAAGCCTCCCACGGGATGATAAAACATCCGGGCATCCCCTGGGCAACGTCCTTGCAGACAGCCAATTCTCTCACACCAGAAGCAACCTGCAGTTTCTCAACTCGCTCCTAACACACAAAAATAAAGTCTTCCAAACAAGAATTGATAATATTGTGCTGCAGTTGTTATGACATGCAAAAATAGAAACTACAGCACAGGACTGAGTTATATGATTTCAATGGAATGAGACTCTTTATTGAAGTTGCAAGACTAATTATTCTGCCTATCCAATTAGTAAAAACCAAGGGTGAATCCTACTGATAGCCCCAACTAGAATAAATTCATTGAAACAATTACTGAATGATGAGTCAATGCTTATATAAATCCCACTGATTTAATGACTCTATTTTAGTTGAAACTATCAACAGATTCAGATCCAAGTACTTAATTTTTTAAAAATGTCTAGTCCTTCAGGTGTAGAAATGTAAAAAGTATGTGCAAAACATTCAACATACAGTTATCAGGGAGCTGTGAATGGCTCCAATTCCCCTTTGAGCTGACCAATGGAGTAATGAAGAGTACGTTTTGTTCTTTCTCTCAACATAAAGGCTTTGTAGCTGTCATTGCACTGAAACAAATGCTTTATATTGGATTACAAAAACAAAGGTGCTTGCTCTTCTGGTGTGTTTCCTACACATATTTTCATTCATTATTTTCCAGTTCTACCTTGCATGCTATAATAGTTAAGGGACTTATTTGAGAACAAATCCCAAAAACTGCTAACCAAATGTGAAAGAGTGTGGCTTATTTAGTTAAAAATAAAAAAAAAAGCTGTGATAAGCTGGAACACTTTTCTGGCCAATAACCTTTTAAAATAACACTGGCTACCACCACACTTAAAAGAAATGTTTAGCCCTTGGCTTGCCTTAAGGATTTTTTAGGCTAGAGTGTGCTAGAGTCGCACTCAGGTTTTGTTCTCTGAGGTAACACTTAAGAGATTCCTTTTAAAATACACACTGCCACCATTTAACTTTGATTCCTGTAATAATTTGCTTTTGAACTCCTCACACAAAGGCACAAGTGAGATAGATGTTGTGAACAAATGACAAGGTTGTTTATTTTAGAGAACTTGGACAAAACAGGCTTTAAGCTTAGCGATTGCAATGTTGAATAAAGTGTGCGGTTTCTTTAAATAAATAGTTCAGCACTTAGTTTCAATGACTCTCCTCTCTCCCTCCAGAAACTACTGACAGGATTCCTCTCTGCCTAGTATTTCTAAACTCTACACAGACAGTCCTTTCCTTTTGGATCTGTCTCTCCACTCCAACAGCTATCCTTCCCAATAGCTATAAATCTTCTCACTATCTTAACTCTCCTGACTAACTGACCAACTTCTGGCTTCACTAACTCTTCTCTTCTTCACTCCAAACCCTAACTCCTTCTTCTTTGACACACAGACCCAAACTGAACTGTCAGGTTTTAAAATGCACCCTTAAAGTCATTTTTTTTTCTTTTCTAAAGTTAAACTCCACCCACTCTCTTTCAGCTAATCACACTTTCCCCTCATTTCCCTCCAAGCTGCTCCTAAGCACCTCCCCCTTCAGGAAATGAAATTCTAAGATGAATTTCTGAGCTTTTCCCAGCTTAACAGGTAGGGAATTCACCACACATGCTCTAGAGCAGTGGTTCCCAACCTTTTTTTGACCAGGGCCACTTTGACCAGGGATCATTCTCCAACATTAGTACCAAAAGGGTTACGAATCAGGTTTTGGTCAACTTTAGATTTGGTTTGGTTATTTGGAGTTCTGATTCAGAAAATTGTATTGGATAGACCACATCAGCTCTAGTTTTGGAAACATAACATTTGCCATGCAGTAGTTGCCATCTGCTTGCCCACAGAAAACCATATTTAACAATCTAGAGCTGATGTGGTAGTAGTAATATTTAATGGGTAGTAAGACTCTCCCCTCACCACATCCCCGTTGACTCGGCATTATAAAAGGGTTTTGCGAGACCAGTATCTCTCACTGCTGTGTGGTTTTGAGACAACGGTGTAGTAATGGTGAGGCTGCGGACCATATTTTTGTTCTTGAGGACCATTGGTGGTCTATGGTTGGGAACCACTGCTCTAGACTCTTTGGATTTAGCAGATAATATGAAATTGCACTTTTAAAGCAATAGAATTACCTTGAATTAATTTAGCATTGATGTCCTCATTTACTTTGGCAATGTTGACTATGTAACAAGCTTGCTGAGCATAGCGAAGAGTACTAAGAGTTTCCTCTACATTTCTGGCAGCAGGGCTAACTGTGGCAATCATAGTAGTTTTCGAATTTCCACCAAGACTTTCTTTTAATAGCCTTCAGTTAGAGGAAAAGATAATAAAGATAACATGCCTTTTCACCATGAGGCCATTTGATATTACTTCCAACACAGTAACAATGAATTTGAATATATCCACAAATTTCAGGTTATTACTAAAGGTGTGAGTCAACATAGTGACTTTGCTCATTATCTTCATTCATTCTCTTTTTAACCTGCTTTTTCTCCATAAGTAGGACTCAAAACAATTTATAAATAAGATAAAAAATATGCAGAAGCTTGTAAAAGCTTATCATTAAAATATAGTTACATTGTTGAGAACATTTAATAGTTTAAAACAAGAATAAAAATTAAAAATTAAAAATAGCATACCAAAAATCACAACAAAAACTGTATCACATATAAAATATGTACATACCATGTAAGGACAGATTCGCGGTATGGAATGAATACCTTCTTCTTGTTCTGATTTTGCTCTGAAAGAGCAGAAATAACTTTCCCCAGAGTTAAAAGGGATTTGTTTATACTCACGCCTTCCTGTATAGAGGAAGAAAGGAGTAACCAAGATGGATCTATATAATACTTTCTTGTTCTGCACATTAGGTATTGTTGTATCACGATTTAGACTAAAGTTGATGCGGCACAGAGACCAACAGAGAAGTTTATTCCACTGGAGAACAGCCTGACACTCAAGAGAGTAAATATTATATTTTACCTTCAATCTTTCTCCACTAGTCCGAGCTGCAGAGCAGCGTTCACTACCTGCAAGGTCTACTAGATTAACACGACTGATAATTCTATGATCATGTTCCTTCTTTTCCACAATATCTGTCTGAAATGTAAAAAAAAACAAAAAAAAACAGTTAGACATCTGCTCCTATGTTGATGGACAGTGTCCCAATGTCTCTAGTGTTTTTACTTCCCAATCAAAGACTATAAACAAGGAGATTAAAAATATAATAATTTCATTTTGTAGATGAACTAAGGGTTGGGTGGTTGACAATCAAGTCAAGTCAAGAAAGCATCAAGAAAGTGCCACATTTGACTATTTCTGCAATGTGGGTTTTATAGTCACAAACTGACGGAAACTCGTACACATACACACATCATCACAACGTCCTTTTTCTCCTTCTTTCCTGTCTGTAAATTTCCTCTCTCAGCTTATCCTTCAGCTTAGCATCTCTGTCTTTTTCTGTTAGTAAACATCCTGTGTTTCTTTGTTCCAAAACAAAATAATCTTTCTGTGCAATCTTTTTCCCTGACTGTAAATAGAAGGTCAGCTACTGTCCTCTCCTTTTTGCCTTGTATGTTATTCGTGTTGTATTTTGAAATGGTCATATGACTGGTCAAATAAATAAATAGATATCTACATAAAAACTCCAACCATTACCCAAGTCAAAAAAGAAACACCATTAAAGCCTTGGCAGACCGTGCAAAAAGAATCTGCGAACCCCACCTCCTCCAAGATGAACTGAACCACCTCAACTGGGCTCTACAGGCCAATGGATACTCCACCTCAGACATCAGAAGAGCTGCAAGACCAAGAACAAGCCACGAGAGTAAAGATGAAGATCCACCCAGAGGAAAAGTGTTCTGCCATACATCAAGGGAACCACTGACCGCATAGGGAGGCTGATGAGGAAACACAACATACAAACTATCTACAGACCCACCAAGAAAATCCAACAAATGCTACGTTCAGCAAAGGACAAGAGGGATCCTCTCACTTCTGCAGGAGTCTACCGTGTACCATGCAGCTGTGGACAAGTCTACATAGGGACCACCAAACGCAGCATTGCCCAAACACGAATCAAGGAACATGAAAGGCACTGCAGACTACTTCAACCAGAGAGTCAGCCATAGCAGAGCACCTGATGAACCAACCTGGACACAGCATATTATTTGAGAACACAGAAATGCTGGACCACACTCACAACCACCATGTCAGACTACACAGAGAAGCCATTGAAATACACAAGCATGTGGACAATTTCAACAGAAAGGAGGAAACCTGAAAATGAACAAAATCTGGCTACCAGTATTAAAAAACTCTAAAATTACAACAGCACAACAACAGAGAGGAAACAAACAAGGACATCTAATCACCTCTCAACAAAGATTGCTCCAGGCACTGCCAGGCAATCAAATGCTAATCAAGGTGGTCAGTTGAAACATTCACACCTAGCTCCAGCAGACAAGATTCCTTTGTCTCACCCTGGTCATTCCACAGATATATAAACCCTTTTTCCTAGTTCCAACAGACCTCACTACCTCTGAGGATGCTTGCCATAGATGCAGGCGAAACGTCAGGAGAGAATGCCTTTAGAACATGGCCATATAGCCCGAAAAAACCTACAACAACCCAGTGATTCCAGCCATGAAAGCTTTCGACAATACAATACAATAAATAAATTATTATTATTATTATTATTATTATTATTATTATTATTATTATTATTCTCCCTCCTATCACTGTCGGGTCAGCCTAATCTCCTTCTACCTCTGACCCAAATGTCTTGTCCTGGCAATGCTATCTTTTCCCAAATTCATTCACTCTTTCTCCTCCTCCTCTGTTTATCTCCCTTTAACCCCTTCTTCTTCTTTATGAAATTCACTTTACATTTCGTAGTCCCAACACCTAACCTGCATCTATAAAGTCAGCTCAAAATAAGTTGATAAATCATCTTATATTTTAGTAATATAAAAAAACCTAAATCACTTCTTTCCTAACACACTAAGACATCATGAAACAATAGCAAAAGCATCTACTACCAGGATTCAATGGGAAGCCATTGACAATTTTTTACAAAGGCTGATTGCAACTAACATTTGTAGAGTGGTTTTGATGAAGGAAGGAGTGTTGCTTTATGTTATATATTGTTTTCATTTTTTTAGTTTTTGCATATTGTATTTTTTAGTTTTTACATACTATTGTTCCACTCAGATTTGGAAAATAAATGTGAGGATCACCGTATTATGGATCAACGTTTCATTAATTTCATGCCCACCACTGTTGGATTCAAATTAGAACTTATCAGGACATATAAAACTACTTGTATTCTACTTGTGCTTTCACAATGTTTGCTAGGAATTAAACAGCACATAAACAAATAGGCTATGTGACGTCTATTGTGGTGGCAGGATCTGAGATCCAGGCACCAATCCACAGCCAGAGCAGCATGGCCGGCCGAGGCTTCATGTCTGCCTTCTTTCCTCGGACTTGAGGGTCGGTCCACAGCAACAAAACAAAAGGAAAGGGGTGGCGAGAAGGAAGCAGAGTCAAATGTCCTCTTGCTTCACTCAGTTCAGAGCTTCCCCTCCCCCCTTTCCAACTTTTCCCAGTGATCTCATCCAACACAAAGCCGCCCCTCACTCTCCCTCTGCCAACTTCAAAACCAATAACAACAACAACAACAACAACAACAACAACATAATAATAATAATAATAATAATAATAATAATAATAATAATAATAATAATAACTTTATTCTTATATTGCACCTCCGTCTCCCAGAAGGGACTCGGGGCAGCTTACATGAGGACCAAGCCCAGTAAAAACGAAGTAACACAATTAAGAACGGTTATACTAGTGTTTCTCAAACTCTACTCCTTCAGATGCTTTGAACTTCAACTTTCGCAATTCCTAACAACTGGTAAATTGGCTGGCATTTCTGGGAGTTGAAGTGCAAAACATGTGGAGGAGAACAGTTTGAGAAACACTGATTAATCAATGATCTGTTGCATATTTCCCTAATAAAACACATTAACACTCTTTACACCAGGGGGTCCTCAAACTTTTTAAACAGAGGACCAGGTCACTGTGCCTCAAACTGTTGGAGGGCCGGATTATATTTTGAAAAATATATGAATGAATTCCTGTTGCTATTGTGTTCTTTCAAGTCATTTCAGACTTAGGGTGATCCTGAGTGAGGGCTGGATAAATGACCTTGTAGGGCCGTATCCGGCCCCTGGACCTTAGTTTGAGGACCCCTGCTTTACACAGTATACAAAGAGGAAGAGGGCAGCTGATTTACTGAATTTCAAACGCATCCAAGTTCATTTGTTTTCAAACCTTTGTTTGCGTCATCACCAGGGTAAAAACAGAATGAGACCGAGAACTCTTGTCGTTCATTCCTGTGGCCGCCGTCGCTCTGTGCTTATTTCCTAACTGAAGCCAACGCTGGTGAAAAATAAAGGCAAATTCAGAAACTTTGAGAAAGCACGTTAAATGAATATTTTAAAAGACACTTGAACAAGTTTAGACTGGAAAAAAACACAGCTATATTTAATTTAATTTTCAGTTTATCCCATGACTAGAAATATTTGATTTTAATGCGACACAACATTTGAATATATCTGCTGGCAACATGCACAAACACATATACAGGCAAATCTAAGAATGGGGGTAGAAACCCTTTGATAGTGGATGTCAATGCCCATTATCCTTTACCAGCCCATACTGACTGGGACTTCTTTGAATGGAAGCCCAAGTCCATTCCACAGTTCCTGCACCCCTCACCAAGGACTGCTGCTTTCTGCTAGCTCAGTGTTTCTCAACCTTCCTAATACAGTTCCTCATGTTGTGGTGACCCCCAACCATAACATTATTTTTGTTGCTACTTCATAATTGCAATTTTGCTGCTGTTGTGAATTGTAATGTAAATATCTGTTATGCAGGATGTAAGTATCTGATATGGAGGATGTATTCACTGGACCAAATTTGGCCCAAATACCCAATATGCCCAAATTTGAATACTGGTGGGGTTTGGGGGGGGGGGGTTGATTTTGTCATTTAGGAGTTGTAGTTGTTGGGATTTATAGTTCACCTACAATCAAAGAGCATTCTGAACTCCACCAACAGTGGAATTGAACCAAACATGGCACACAGAACTCCCACGACCTACAGAAAATACTGGAAGGGTTTGGTGGGCATTGACCTTGAGTTTTGGAGTTGTAGTTCAGCTACATCCAGAGAGTAGTGTACACTCAAACAATGATGGATCTGGACCAAACTTGGCACAAATACTCAATATGCTCAAATGTGAAAACTGGAGGAGTTTGGTGAAAATAGACCTTGACATTTGGGAGTTGTAGTTGATGGGATTTATAGTTCACTTACAATCAGAGAGTATTCTGAATCTCACCAACGATAGAATTAGGCCAAACTTCCCACACAGAACCCCCATGACCAACGGAAAATACTGTGTTTTCTGATGGTTTTTGGCGACCTTGCTGACACCCCCTCGCAACACCCTCAGGGGTCCCGACCCCCAGGTTGAGAAACGCTGTGCTAGCTGGATTTCCAATATACTGCCTGGCATTTGCTAGATGATACACCCCATTGGCAATATCTTTCTAATCGTACCAGGATTCTAATACTAACTGCCTCTTCAGCTGTGTTAATATTGTATTAACATTATTACTGTGTCACTAGTATTAAAACTGACTTGTACCAGTAACTTGTGCAGAAGCATGGAAGATGGCAAAACTATTTTCTCAATTGTTCTACAATCTTTTATTTATGATCACTGAAAACCAATAACAATATTTTCACATGTTCGCTTGAAAAACATATTTATAATTCCAACTATCGAAATAATAAAACACTTGCCTGAATATCTGAATAAGAGGTAACAACATTCCTAAAAGGAAAAAAAAACAATAATTTTATCTACTGGGAAAAAATTAAATTCCACTTAAGACAAATCCTACCAAGCTTGCAGCTTAAACACCAAATAGCTTCACATAAATCTAACAGATGACTCAACGAAAGATTCTACACACATTTCAAGTCCATACTTATGGGATTGTTAGAGTTCACTCAGGAATGTCTATTTAATCAGTTGTTGTTTCCTAGTGTTAATAACAATCAAATCATGATGCAGGTCAGCACAGTGAAGACTTACACTGTCAGGTCTTCCACATATGGCCCAAAGACTGGATGTTCTCTCACACGGAGCTGTTTATCAGAAAAGACAATGATGATCAGAGATATGATTCGGTCATATGTAACAAAATTTGGAAAAAAAACCCTTTTCCTGTTTTGAACGTGTTATTTCCTGTTTAATTGTGCGGTACTTACTTTGAAAGTAGCTGTTATACCCCAGAAACTCCACAAACTATGTTGTATTGGTTGAACCTCAATGAGATATTCAATAAAAATTACAGCAAAATGTGCTGCAGAATGTTCCGCAAAAACAATTTTTTCCATGCTTTTTTATGACAGAACGGCATTTATAACCCAGGAACAAAAATACCCCTCTGTTTTTAATTGTGTGTTGTTTTATTGATAATGTTGTTTATCTTATTGTCTATGTCTTTTAATTGCTTGTAATGTTGTTTTATTGCTTGTATTGTTGTGTTTGGGCTCGGCCTCATGTAAGCCGCACCGAGTCCCTTGGGAGATGGTAGCGGGGTACAAATAAAGTTAATAATAATAATAATAATAATAATAATAATAATAATAATAATAAAAGTTAATAAAAATAGTGTTCTAGTTTTCCATCCTACCGTTCATTTTTTTAAAAAAAATTGAAACTAACTTGTTCACACTTTATTTTATTATAAAACCAGTAAAAGTTGTCAACAGTGTTCACATCAAACAAAATAGTATGAGAACTAAACACTTTTAAGAGGAAACAAAAACAGCATATTCAAAAAAGTATAGAAAAAATGCCACCCTGCGGTTCAGGGAGATGAATTTTAAATAGGCTTCTTGTGAACCATATCTTGCTCACGCATGAGCATGTCTCATACCTAGTAGATTACCATACAGAATCTGCATGGTCCCCTAGAAAACAAATGTTGGTCACTATACATCCTTGCTAATGCTAACCTAAGTATACACATCTATTTAGAAGCTTATAACAATAGAAACCACATATATGGTGCAAAAATAATAACCAGGGTCCTATAGGAGCAAAATAATTAGCCAAATATACCATTTTGTGAGTATATTTTCTCACCATTTATATGGTAAATATTCAAGATGTAACTCAATACTCAAACAGATCAGCAGCAACAATCAGACTGCTTCTCTGGTTCAAAGTGAAGGGGGGGGCAGAAGACAGTTCCATCTTGTCTCCTTTCTATGTCATTGTTTGGGAGCTCCTCCTCCCCAGCATCAACTGCTTCTCTGGTCCTAGTGAAGGGGGGGGGGCAGAAGATAGTTCCATCTTGTCTCCTTTTTATGTCATCGGTCAGGAGCCCCCCCCCCCAGCATCCACTGCTTCTCTTGTCCAGAGTGAAGAGAGAGGGGGCAGAAGACAGTTCCATCTTGTCTCCTTCCTATGTCATTGGTTGAGACCCCCCGCCCGGCACCAACTGCTGCTCTGGACCAGAGTGAAGAGAGAGGGGGCAGAAGACAGTTCCATCTTGTCTCCTGTGCTTTACTAATAATGTAATATAATATAATATATTGTATATACATATAATATTTATAAAATTAGAATGTAATACAATATAATTCTAATAATAATACAATATTATAATTATATATTTTATATTACATGTATTACTAATAATATTACAATATAATGATATAGTACAATATAGTAATATATAATACTGATATTGCACTATGCTAATAATATAATATATTGTATGTATATATATCTTGTAAGCCGCTCTGAGTTCCCTTCGGGATGAGAAGGGTGGCATATAAATGTCGTAAATAAATAAATAAACAAATAAACAAATGGCAGTGGTGTTAATGAATGCAGGAGGGAGGCCAACCACTACTCTCACAAACCACAGCTTAACCCTATGTCTTCCAGCACAAAATGTCTATATTTTTGATCACTTCTTTCATCAAAGCCTGACTCTATGGGATCTTTGAAGCCAAGGCTTGAGAAATCACCCCTCATATTAAAAAAAAGTAAAAGGAGCATCTCTCCTATACTGCCCTAGTTGCAATACCAGATATGAATGAAAGAAGCAGGTATAGATACAACCAGCTGATAGCACTAAGTGAGGACCATATCATGTAGTATGCGAATGTAGCCAGAGAATTGTGCTTCCCAAACTGAATATGATCTTAGCCAGTGCAATTCCTTTTATGAGACCAGATTACAGTCGGCCCACTGCATTTGTGTTTGGTCTTTGTGGGTTTTATTATTTTTGGACTGGATTAAATTTTTCACATTACGATCATCCCATATAATTCTATGGTCAACTTGCCAGAACAGAATGTCACTAAAGGACCCAAAGATGCCTAGAGAAAATACCTCTCTAAGTCTTTTAGTGAGATAAATAACCACAGAGTCATTTGGAGGATCTAGAGATTTCCAGAGAGGTTTTCTCTCAGTTAAAAATGCAGTTTCAATAGGTGTTTTTAAACACTTTTGGGTGTGTCCTTTGTCTCTATCCCAGGAAATGTGCAGGGTTGTCTGTATATCTAAAGTTGTTGTTGTTATTGTTGTTTTTATTTATCTACTGCCTTTTCTCTCCACAAGGAGACACATAAACTGTTATTGTTCTCATAGACTGATACGAGGTCATACAAAACACAAATAGTAACTTACAGGTTCTTTCTTCTGTCCAGTTTCCCGTCTGAAGACGAGCAAGTCATGAATTTTTTCATTGTAAACTTCAAAATAACTCATTTCAAGATGATAAGCTATCTAATGAAGAAGAAGAAACACCAGAGGTTAGTTTATAAAGAAATGTAACAATCTTGAGTGTCTCAGTAAAAAGATGCAGTTTGAAGACAAAAACTAACTTTCTTTCGAATTATAAAACTGACGATCTGCTCAAAAATGAGCTTCCTCTTTTCCAGGAGTATCGCCCAACAAGGACAGGATCACAGTATCATTAATACCTGTTGGGTTTCTGCTTCTTCTATTCGTTTAAAGAGATCTTCACAGAATCTCGGTGTTATCCCTCGTTCATCGTTCTCGAAGCCCATCATGCTGTAATGATAAATATTTCACTAATTAGCTGAAGGTGTTTTTCAACTCTGCAAGAGCAGATGTCTGTTCATCTGATTTCATCTAACTGGTATTTAGAAGATATCTACTTTAAAATAAATATGCAAACTGTTCTGCAGCATACTGTAAAGTCTAATATGATTTTGGAACTGGAAAATTTAGCAATTTTCTCCAATGCAAAGGAGAACAACATTCTCATAGATTTGTTTGGCAACTTGCTCATATATTGATCAAGGGACTACAAAATATAACAAATTATAACAAATTTGCTAACTGTATCCTTACTGGGTCGATTATAACAAATTTACTAACTGTAACCTTATTAGGTAGATTCAAACAACTGGGAATAAAGACTTAAAACATATTCTGCAGTGCACAGAATAATTGGGCTAAACTTAATAATAATAATCTATATAAATAAAAATGTAATGTTTGTTTGTGGGATTAACATAACTCAGAAACCTCTGGACGAATTGAACCAAAATTTTGACCAATACACCTAACAGTCCAACAAGTGTTCATCACCTCTTAAAATACAAAAAACACCCCAGGAGAACAGACTTAACCCCCCCACTCCAAATACACCATATATATACATACATACATGCACACACACACACATATGCACACACACATATATACACAGATACACAAATATATACAGACGCAAAACACATATATACAGACTGGGACACAGCAACGCATGGCAGGGGATGGCTAGTAACAATAATAATAATAATAATAATAATAATAATAATAATAATAATAATAATAATATACTTTGTTGGGGAGGTAAAAGGCATACATGTAGATATGCCGGCAATTTGATCAGGAAGGCCTTTTACCTCCCCAACAAAGCGGTATCTATTCACATTACTGCTTTCAAACTGCCAGGTGGGCAAAAGCTAGGGCTGATAATGGGAGCTCACCCCAATCCATGGCATAAACTGCCAACCTTCAGATCGGCAAGATTTTTTGCAGCTGGCGGTTTTACCTGCTGTTCTACCGCGGCCCAATTCATTATGAAGTATATTCATTTGTAGCCTCTAGTTACATAGTTAACCCTGTAAATTCCCATTAGCATGTCAAAAGAAGTAAAATATGGCATATTTAACTGGTATGGTGTTATGCTGAGGCAATTCACACTGAACGATAAGCTATAGCAAGCATGTGGTTTCTGTTAGCCTTCTGGTAATGGTACCAAGTTGTGTTAATACCCCTTCACGCCTATAGAGTACTTTATAGAGTAATTACATGTACATCACCACATTATTCAGCAACCCTGTCATACTGTATACCATTATTTCCAAGAACTGTTAGCTCCATTTTAACACTAGTCCACTAGACAAAATATGTGCCACAGTCCATAGGATTGTAAGTGAATGAAATCCTTCCATAGGACAATGTATATTGATTCAGTTGATTTAATTCCCATACCTAAAAGTAATTTTCTCAGCACTGTGGCAATTTTATTATTTGCTTAAATTTCATTCACTTAAAATCATGAACAAAGAAAACACTAGGAAGCAACACAGATTCAAAGCAACCCAAAAAGCAGCAACCTTCCAATACAACTTACGTGTATGACTTTCCAGAACCAGTCTGTCCATATGCAAAAAGGCAGGTGTTGTATCCTTCAAAGGCCCTTTCTAAGAGAGGAATTGCCAAGGACTGATAGACCATCTCTTGGCCTGCAAAGTTATGGCTCTTATCGAAAGACCAGAAGGAATAATCAAAGCTGAAACTGTAGGTTTGTTTTGTGTTTGGGTGGTTTACAACAGTCTCTTGGCCAGCCATGGAAATGATCTGGAACTTTTCTTCATTTTTCTCTCTGAATAAAGGCAGAAGGTTAACATTATTTACAGGAGGTAAAATTAAATGCAAAAGATTAAGAATGATCATAGCAAACTAAGAAATACATTTCAATTAAATGTGTTTAACTGATGGTCTAAAAAGAATTCTAATAATAATAAAATAATTTCTTTCTAAGAGCGAAATTTCATAGAATCATAATCAAAGAGTTGGAAGAGACCTCATGGGCCATCCAGTCCAACCCCCTGCCAAGAAGCAGGAATATTGCATTCAAATCACCCCTGACAGATGGCCATCCAGCCTCTGTTTAAAAGCTTCCAAAGAAGGAGCCTCCTCCACACTCCGGGGCAGAGAGTTCCACTGCTGAACGGCTCTCACAGTCAGGAAGTTCTTCCTCATGTTCAGATGGAATCTCCTTTCTTATAGTTTGGAGTAACTGCCAATAATTGGGAAAGGTATTTAAATTACAAAGTTTTATGCCAGTGTTTGATGGGAATTTGCATCACTTTTTTCTCTATTGGGGAGAGCAAGTGACTACAAAATTGATGAGGACTCAAAAGTCAGGAGGCACTGTGGTTTTAAGTTGAATATGCATTGAATATGTTGAATGGTTTATAACTGACTTTTTAATGCCTTTTATATTTAATTCTTTTTTAATGTATATTTGTATATTTTAAATTGTGTACTTTGAGTCCCCTACGGGAGAGATAACGCGGGGTATACATAAATATAAATATTCAGGCACTGAATGTTTGACTTTTTGTGACTGGAATCTGCCCTGAGTCCCTTCGGGGGAGAGGACGGAATACAAATAAAGTTTTATTATTAGTAGCAGTAGTTACATTCCTTCAGTCATTTCCGACTCTTCGTGACCTCATGGACCAGCCCACACCAGAGCTCCCTGTTGGCCGACACCACCCCCAGCTCCTTCAAGGTCAAGCCAGTCACTTCAAGGATGCCATCCATCCATCTTGCCCTTGGTCGTCCCCTCTTCCTTTTCCCTTCCATTATCCCCAGCATAATTGTCTTCTCTAAGCTTTCCTTTCTTCTCATGATGTGGCCAAAGTACTTCATCTTTGCCTCTACTATCCTTCCCTCCAATGAGCAGTCGGGCTTTATTTCCTGAAGTATGGACTGGTTGGATCTTCTGACGGTTCAAGGCACTCTCAGAACTTTCCTCCAGCACCACAGTTCAAAAGCATCTATCTTCCTTCACTCAGCCTAGTATTAGTATTATATAATAATAATAATAATAATAATAATATAATAATAATAATAATAATTTGTATGACAATAAAATTGTAAGCACACATTTAACACCTCCATATTTTGTAATCATATTAACAGCAAACAAAATCTGTAACGGGGGGGGGGGGTGTCAGGCAAAATGTTGGTGCCCCAAATCACTGTTTGTTTATGGACTTAAAATATAAAATACATAGAATAACTATGTAGGTATAATTGTGTTAGTATCCCTTGATGTAGCAGGATGTAATGAATCTTCACTCCTTTCCTGAAAATATAGGACCCATTGAAATGAAAAAGCAGGTCCCAATAAGAACACAAGGATCCTTTGAAAAGTTGAAAATAGAAACAAAGTGAAACATGGTAGCCTTTTCATTAGCAAAACTCGGAATTAACTGTAGGTGGTGCACTAGGTATAGAGACAACAGAACCAAATTTGGTTGTACAGGTTAAGCATCCCTTGTTTTTTTTCCCCATATTTGGAGATATTTTTTTCCATATTTGGAGATATTTGCATATATATATATAATGAGCTATAATGAGCTATCCTGGAGATGGGAACCTAGCGTAAACACAAAATACATGTATTTTATATATTTTATGTTTTGCTACATTTTATCTTCCAAGAAAGACATAACAATTCATATAATTTGAGATATAATGCCTAAAAACTGTAGTCACATACCTGTCGCTGAAGGGGCGGACTCTCACAGCCACAGTAACTTTACTATTTTCAATTTTGAAGGGGTCGTCTGTAATGCATGTGTCCTGCTTCGGAGTATCGTCTTGCAGCACAGACATTTGTTGGATAGATCTAGTATTTTCTTGCACCCTTCCATTTTTAATACTGAGAGCATGTGATGTTGTTTCAGAGCTCAATGTCTTATTTCTCATAGCGAAGGTAGTAGAAGTCTGAACATGCTGAACAGGCGTACATTTGGGGGTAAATTTAGGTCCATCTGTCATTCCTTTTCTTGGCGTTTTCTGTCTTTCCAAATTTTTATTTTTAAGATCATCATCTTGCAAGTTGACTATTCCATTTTCCTTATGGAAATTCCTTTCTCTGGTGCACTTAACAGCAGATGTCTTATTATCAGGTTTTGCTGGAGTGAAAAGGGAGAATCGAGATACGTTTTCACTCTCGGAATCAGTACTTAGTGTCCTGTGTTTCAGAGGCGTGTAGCTCCTATAGCCATTTGGATCCAAAGACACATTATTTTTCATACTGGGATTTAGCTTTACATCCCTGCAGGGTGTAAGCGACTGAGGACCAGTCTTAACAGATGGAGGATCGTTGCTATTCCTTTTTGCTGGAATCAAAGTTGTGTTGTTTTTCTGCAATAAAAGTGCAATGTTTCCTCCTCTCGCCTCATTGGCATTGTTTGTTTTGGAAGTCTCCGTTGATCCAATCCTCTGACGGCGCTGCAGGGTGAGTCTTTTTTCTGTCTGTGTATTTTCACTATCGCATGTTGCATTTATACTGGATTGTTCTTTGCTTGTCACCGTTCTTCTCTGAAGGGTCAACTTGCCTCCATTTTTAAGGGCAGGGGAAGCACCCGCCAGCTTGTTACAAGTCGAAAGCACATAGGTCCGATTGATTTCTTTCGTCTTATTCAAGGACTGGGACAGTGAGTTTTCCTGCTCATTTCCCGACACATCTGGTGTACATTGTTCTCGAAATCTGTCCCTAATATAAGCATTTTGGTGGGGATGTTGTTGTGCAGAAGTGCTAAGAGTTCTGACATGGCTTACGTTTGGAACTTTGTAGATAGGCATTGAAGCATAAAGCAAGTGGCAGTAACAGAAGTGAAATTGTCTTGTATGCGTTGTTTTTTTCCCAAAGGATGCGATTAGCTGTTATTTTCTCTATGATAGAAAAGAAATATGTCACATGATCTGTTAAAAAAACATCATAGTTGTCATCCACACAAAACCCTGAATACCTGTGTAACAAGCATAGCCTTTGTCAGGTTTTGCAATGTATTGCAATGTAATATAGCTGAGTCATGTACTGCTAATGGGTTTCTATTGGAAATCCTGAGTCACGCATTAACTGTACATAGAACTTCATTTGGGGAATGTGTTCTGGCCTAGTCCAGGTGATTGTGAATGATGCAATCCTGGGTTTGAGTTGAGTCAATGAGTTGGGAACCAATCAGTGATTGCTATGTGTAAATGAATTGTATATAAGGAAGTCATGTACAGTGTATATCTCTCCTTGTGCTGTGATGTTGTTCGTCGAAGGCTATATGTAATTAAAGAACCTGTCTGCTAAGACAAGATATAACTGTATGCTGTGGTAAGTTTGTAATATCATCTAGACTGGGGGAAAGACAATGGTAAAACTGACAATGGCCGGGCATGTGCTCAAGTGTCTGTAAAAGGTTCCAGAGTGATTGTAGGCTGTGGAAGCAGTTGACTGAAAATACTGTGCAGGAAGAAGCTACTGGAAAGCGCTGAAGTTGTGCAACTGATCTGCTGCTGAATTGTGAAGTTAAACTCAACAGCCTTAGTGCCATTCCTTGATATTCTGCCATATAACCCAGAATATCAAGGCAGCTGAATAAAATCCCACATTATCTGCTTTGAACTGGGTTATCTGAGTCCACACTGCCATATATTCCAGTTCAAAGCAGATAATGTGGGATTTTATCCAGCTGTGTGGAAGGGGCCTAAGGCCCTATATCCCAGAATATCAAGGCAGAAAATCCCACAATATGTGCTTTGAACTGGGTTATCTATTGGCCCTTCCACACAGCCCTATATCCCAAGGCAGAAAATCCCACATTATCAGAGTGTGGACTCAGATAACCCAGTTCAAAGCAGATATTGTGGGATTTTCTGCCTTGATATTCTGGGATATAGGGCTGTCTGGAAACACCCACAGTCAAAAGGAAATAAAATGTTTATAAGCCAGAAATTAAAGAATCTGAATTGTCTCAGGTTTCTTTCAAATATGAAATGTTTTTGGATAAAATCAACTAAAAATATTAAACACCTAAGGATTAAGAAAACACTATGTAAAATAATGACAACATGGTATCAAAACCCACGTCAATTGTCTCATGTTACAAAAAAAACACATCAGTATTGTGCTACTGTTGCATGGGTTGCTGCTATCATGTATTTTATTGTTTTTTGTTCAACTCTATTTTTATCCCAAATATTTCCTCCATGTAGTTCTTGGCTTTATGTGTGGTGGAACTACAAAACATTACACACAAAACAATATTTTTAAAAAACCTAAGAATGAGATGAAGAAAACATTATCCCTTTGGGATTGATTCTGCATTGTACTATTTTGTATTGTTTCATTGCATTCTTATGTTTTTATTTATTTAATTGTGATGTTTGTTTTGTTGTTTTGGTTTTATTTTGTTGTAATGTATTGTCGGGCTTGGCCTCGTGTAAGCCGCCTTGAGTCCCCTTTGGGGAGATGGTGGTGAGGTATAAAGTTGTTTATTATTATTATTATTATTATTATTATTACTACTATTATTATTATTATCTATATAAATAAAAATGTAATGTCCGTTTGTGGGATTAACAGAACTCAAAAACCACTGGATGAATTGACACCAAATTTGGACACAAGACACCTAACAACCCAGTGTATGTCCTTCTCTCAAAAAAATTGATTTTGTCATTTGGGAGTTGTAGTTGCTGGGATTTATAGTTCACCTTTGGTTTTGGAGTTGTACTTCACCTACATCCAGAGATCACTGTGGACTCAAACAATGATGAATCTGGACCAAACTTTACAAGAATACTCAATATGCCCAAATGTGAATACTGGTGGAGTTTGGGGAAAATAGAATCTTGACATTTGGGAGTTGTAGTTGCTGAGATTTGTAGTTCACCTACAATCACAGAGCATTCTGAACCCCACCAACAATAGAATTGGGACAAACCTCCCACACAGAACCCCCATGTGGGCCACAGCAATGCGTGGCAGGGGACAGCTAATCTATATAAATAAAAATGTAATGTTCGTTTGTGGGATTAACAGAACTCAAAAACCACTGGATGAATTGACATCAAATTTGGACACAAGACACCTAACAACCCAATGTCTGTTATTCACTCAAAAATTGATTTTGTCATTTGGGAGTTGTAGTTGCTGGGATTTATAGTTCAGCTACAATCAAAGAGCAATCTGAACCCCACCAACATTAGAATTGAACCAAACATGGCACACAGTTCTCCCATGACCAACAGAAAATACTGGAAGTGTTTGGTAGGCAGTGTCCTTTGGTATGGGAGTTGTAGTTCACCTACATCCAGAGATCACTGTGGACTCAAACAATGATGGTTCTGGACCAAACTCTACACGAATACTCTATATGCCAAGGATATTAGACATGCCCCAACTCTGGTAGTCTTTAAGAGGAGCCTGAAAACGTGGTTGTTCCAGTGCGCCTTCCCAGAATAAGGAACCCTAAGCAGCATGTCCCTAATGATCTAGGATTGTCTGCTCACCCCATTTCTCTCCAAATACCCATCCTAGTCATATGTCACCTTGTCATGCTCAGTATTTTAAAATTTTAACTATTACATTTGGCCCTGCTATAGGTTTTTAATGCGTTGTGGTGTTATTGTTATTGTTTATTGCTTTGATTATGAGTTTTTATTGTCTGTATTGCTGTGTTGTTTTATTGATGTAATTGGGTTCAGCCTCTTGTGAGCCGCACCGAGTCCTCTGGGAGATGGTAGCGGGGTATAAAAAAAGGTTTATTATTATTATTATTATTATTATTATTAAAGGGTTTGGTGGGCATTGACCTTGAGATTTGGAGTTGTAGGTCACCTCCACCCAGAGAGCACTGTGGACTCAAACAGTGATGGATCTGGACCAACTTCACACCAATACTCAATATGCCCAAATGTGAACACTGGTGGAGTTTGGGGGAAATAGAATCTTGACATTTGGGATTTGTAGTTGCTGGGATTTGTAGTTCACCTACAATCACAGAGCATTCTGAACCCCACCAACGATAGAATTGGGCCAAACTTCCCACAGAGAACTCCCATGACCACCAGAAAATACTTAAGGCCATCCAGTCCAACTCACTTCACCAGGGCAATAAAACGTAATCAAACCCTCCTGACAAAGAGCCATCCAGTCATAGATATAGATAGATATATATGATTCACACACAAAGAGAGATATAGTATCATAGATTTGAAAGGGACCCCTAAAGAAGGACAATTATATGTTGCATGTTCCAGAGTAGGCAAACCAGACAATCTCCACATCAACACTGACAAAGAAACAACAAGAAATACTGTTTACCCACAAACATAAAGAAATTACATTTATTAGAAACCAACACGTTCTTATTAATTAATTTTCCAGATCATCAAGCAGGGGCATCAACACATGGCAGGGGCAGCTAGTATTTTTTTAAAAACCTAAGAATGAGATGGAGGAAATTTTAGGGATAAAAATAGAGTTGAACAAAAAACAATTCTTTACTCTGAAAATAGAAAGTAAAGGTGGTAATAAAGAATTGGGAAATACAGTAGGATACAGGACCTTAGCTTTCCCTGCCAAACTAGAATTCCCAGGGACCCATGGCATTGGGATACAAAGTGGTGTCAAATTACCTTGCTTCTGTAAAGTGATCCTGGGGAGTCACTCTCTCTCAGCCGCAGAGGCAATCCCTTCTGGACAAATCTGGCCAAGAAAATGGAGATCCCTTCTACACTGCCATGTAATCCAGATTATCAAAGCAAATAACCCACATGATCTGCTTTGAACTGGATTATATGAGTCTACACTGCCATAGAATCCAGTTCAGAGCAGATAATTTGAATTGTATCTGACAGTGTAGAAGGGGCCACAATCCCCATTAACCCCAGTCAGCATAGCCAATGTAGGAGACTGTGGCCTTCAATGTGCCCAGCCTTGAATTACAAGGAAGCAAGGAGGGCATCAGAAAGGAGGCTTGGATTGCTCCACAAGATACCCCCCCCCCCCATAAAAAGAAATGGTTCATTCCACAAAAGGGGAGGGAAGTGACCCCTCCCGCACTGAGACTTACCTATCCTCAAATAATCAATCAACAGACCTAAACCGCAGGAGCATCTCCAGCTCTCCGTTCGAATACGCCGCCGCCGCTTCTTATTGGCCGAGACCGTTGATGACGACAGCCGTGAGGCAAAGAGTGGTGCGCCAACTATGAAGCTTGGAGCAACACCTCCGGTTCCCAAGCGGAAGCGCCTGCGAGCCAGCAAGGCAAGGCAAGGCAAAGAGATAAAATCAGAGTGCAGTAGATCAGTGGTTCTCAACCTTCCTAATGCCACGACCCATGGATACAGTTCCTCATGTTGTGGTGACCCCCAACCATAACATTAGTTTTGTTGCTACTTCATAACTGTCATTTTGCTGATGTTATGAATAGTAAATATGTGATATGCAGGATGTATTTTCATTCACTGGACCAAATTTGGCACAAATACCCAATATGCCCAAATTTGAATAATAGTGGGGTTGGGGGGAGGGATTGGTTTTATCATTTCAGAGTTGTACTTGCTGGGATTTATAGTTCATCTACAATCAAAGAACATTCTGATCTCCACCAATGATGGAACTGAACCAATCTTGGCACACAGGACTCACTTGGCACACAGAAAACACTAGCAGGGTTTGGTGGGCATGGATCTTGAGTTTGGGAGTTGTAGTTCATCTGCATCTGTGGACTCAAACAATGATGGATCAGGACCAAACTTGGCACAAATACTCAATATGCCCAAATGTGAACACTAGTGGAGTTTGGGGGAAATAGACCTTGGCATTTGGGAGTTGTAGTTGCTGGGGTCTATAGTTCACCTCCAATCAAAGAGCATTCTGAACCCCACCAACAATAGAGTTGGACCTAACTTTCCACACGTAACCCAGATGACCAAGAGAAAATACTGTGTTTTCTGATGGTCTTCGGTGACCCCTCTGACACCCTCTCACGACCCCCCCAGGGGTCCCGACCCCCAGGTTGAGAAACACTGTGCTAGAGGGAGCTCATCCGCCTCTCCCTGGATTCAAACCTGCAACCTGTCGGTCTTCAGTCCTGCCGGCACAGGGGTTTAACCCACTGCGCCACCGGGGGCTCCATTTTACTTAAGTGATATTTTTCTTTACTGTTCTAATGTAGCACAAACCCTATGTAAAACCATACTACGTATTTTTACATTAATATTGAAATCTGAGATATATACAGAATTCTGAATATATTCAGAATTCATATCATAGCTTTTACTTTGAGAAAGATCAAGATATAACTTGTAAAACATGTCTTTCTCTCTGAGTGTGTTTTTTTTTTAAAAAAGAAATACATTATTTTAATTATCAAACTGAAGAAACAACCCTATTAGTTTGATTAGTAAGAGCCTGCATTTCGGATAGTGACCGGGTACTCATTCATACATATATGAAGATAGCTTGGAGTATGTTGTCAAGCCCGGAAATGATAAAATGTTTTATACCTTCATCAAGAGGAACTTTTGATATAATTTCCTGTAATCTTTGCTGTATTATTTGTATAATACACACAGCTGTATAAAATCCACATTGAACTGGATTAAACGGCAGTGTGGACTCATATAATCCAGTTCAAAGCAGATGTGAATTATCTGTCTTGCTGTTCTAGGGTATATGGCTGTGTAGAAAGGCCCTTAGACTTAGCTATAGAGCCCTAACAGAAATCCTAATTTTATCCATCCTCTCATAGTAATATGGGAATCGGATTCAGGGAGTACTTTAGATTTCTCAAGGATCATACTGCCATATAATCCTGTTTCTGAATTCAGATTATCTGCTTTGAATTGGACACATGGCAGTGTAGATTCACATAATCCGGTTCAAAGAAAATGCTGTAATCTGGATTCAGAAACTGGATCATATGGAAGTGTAGATCCAGCCTAAGGGAACTCTAGCTACCTCACTAAACTACAAATCCCAAAATTCCACAGAATGGAGATATGGCCACTGAGGTGGCATCCAATTACTATAGTGGTCTGGTATAACTGCAGAAATGTACCTTCATATCTGTTTCTAGCATTGTGCCACTTTGATTGCTTCTTACTTCATGTTGGAACTAATATGAGGCATCCACTGCATTAACTAAAATAACAGAACTATCCATTTATTATTTGTGGGATGCTGAGCAGCACTTAATTTAAAGTCCACACTTTATTGATTACGCTCTTCATGTTGCACAGGAACCCATCCATTTTAGAGCTTCCATGCGCCATCTGTCGTTCAAAGGGCAGTGCATGTATTTAACCTGAAATATATTTTGCATCCAAAATACAAAGCATCTGATAATAAATCTTACTAAGCAACCTGCAGTAAATCTCCAGCCCATGGAATAAAGCAGAAGATTAAAATACCAAGGTGTGAATATGAGAAATCATGTGATTTTGTACACAATTGAACTGAAGAATTCTGACATCCTACTGATATCAAACACCGGCTGAATCATGGAATCAAATCAACAGGATTTCAAAGGGATTGTTTTTAATTGGATTATGGCCAAAGAATTATGAAGTACAAATTGAAAAAGACTTTCCATTTACAAATGTAATATTTACAAAAACAGTACAGCTCATTGCTTCTGAAACGTGCTTTTGTCGTGTTTTCGGATAATGTCCATAAGGTTGTCGCCAGTCACAAGTCCCTTCTGAGACTCTTTACTCCTCTGCTGTTCTTTCCTCTTTTGGTCATGAAGATACGGAGAGTTTAATAACTGAGGAGGGAGGATGGTGCCCGTGGGTTTCACTCGCTTCACAACATCCCAGAACAGTTTCTTGCTGTTGTTGTTAATAAAGGTAATGGCCGTTCCGCTGTGACCGAGCCGACCTGCTCTTCCAACCTGAGAAATTAAAAGCAACAAACATTCACACCTAGCTCCAGCAGACAAGAGTCCTTTGCCCCACCCTGGTCTTTCCGCAGATATATAAACCCATTTTCCTAGTTCCAACAGACCTCACTACCTCAGAGGATGCTTGCCATAGATGCAGGCAAAACGTCAGGAGAGAATGCCTCTAGAACATGGACATACAGCCCGAAAAAACCTACAGCAACCTAAAAGCAACAATGCTTAAGGTTGGCCAAATTGTAAAATTGAGAAAATGCCTTAGCTGGGTATATTATTTACAATGGAACCCGTTCATCATAGTTACATCTGAAAATGTCAACCCTTCACAAAACCACCACTGTATATTGGGCAGCACCAAACCAAACATGACGTCTCAGCAGTTACAAGATTGTAAGCCCATCTTTGAATCTCGAAACTGATGGACAAGGTGTCAAATATTTCCTGTATACATGAAACTCATTTAAAGGCTCAAAACTAACCCTCATTTAGGGTAATTCCACCAAAATATAGCAGAGTACCTGGAGTAAACTCCATAACCAACAGAAATGTACATGTAGTGAGAAGGGATAGCCTTCTAATCTTTAGGATGGCTCATGTTTACAGGGTCAAAACTTTGGGTTCAAAAATATTTATTAAAGTAAAAAAAGAAATGCATTCTTGATAGAAAAGTCTTGGAGCTAACTAGTTTACTAAATCTCATCTTCTAAAGAAGGTAAAAGGTAAAAAAAAAGTCCATGCAGCTACATTTTGCCTCTGTAGGCAAAATGTAGCTGCATGGACTTTTTTTTTAACCTTTTACCTTTTTTTTACCTTTTTGCCTACAGAGGCAAAATGCTTCCTCATATGAATAAAGAAAAGCAGAAGAAGAATGGTGGAGACCGTATGGCCTTCCCAGGGCAGTTCAAATTTAAACAGGAAGTTCCCTCACAGAATTACATTACTACGTCATCAAAGGGGGAGGAAGTAGCAGTAAAGGCAAAGCCCTTTAGGAAACATGCAGAGGAATGTGGGGAAGGAATCCCTGAGCTTTGTCCTGTCTCTAGCCTAGCTACTCATTGAGAACTGGAAACTTGATGACACAAAGACTTGTGTAATCCATGGATGAAACCCAACATTTTCCATCTTTTTATGTTAAGACCCAATTAGGAAATTACATTTATAACCCAGGAACAAAAATCGTATTGCATAGTGTTATTTACAGATTTGATTAATACTGTACACCCTTTCTGAGAATCTCTATATTTGTTGTGACTCAGGTGGAACCAGAGTGCCTCTGATGAGGATGATGGGATTCAGGTTGACAATCTGGTTCAAAATGTCCCTGTTATAGTCAATGAGGAACAGGGTGTGGAAGTTCAGTTTCCCACAGCAAGAAATGAGTTTGTTGATACTGAAACTAGCCAGGTACAGGTGCAAATTGACTCAGAAAAGGAGGACAGTTCTCAGCCTGATAATGAGCAGGAAGGCAAACTGAGTAACACTAACGAACAGACTGACCTTGGCGAAATGGGAACCTTAGATCGTGCTGACCGTTTGGAATTCAGAGTTCGAAGGAGTGTGAGAATAGCTAACAAGAAGGTCAGAGGCCAAAGAAACGCCTTCATGTTTTGCAAAGGGTATTAAGCAGTGTGTTTGGGACCAAACCTTTGTCAGAGCAACTTTTCATTTAACCAAGAACCTTGCATTTTGCTTGTCTGGATTATCTTGCAGTTCTTGTGTTCATGGTCTCAGGACTCAGTCATGTTCTCATGGGATTTTGCTTTGCTGGTACCTTTTTGGGTCATGCTTCAAAATGTTGTTTTGTATTGATCTTTTAGAACATTACTTTTGCTTTTAAGAACTTTTTATCTTTTACTTTTTAATAAACTATAAAGACTTCTGGCTGTATGCAGTTTGGTGATTTCAGCAAGGTGAACCTATTCTGAGGTTTCGACAATATTCCCCAATGTGATTCTATATGGCCAACTTTCAATGGACCTTAAAGGCATATTGGAGGACCTAGAGATCCCTAAAAAGGTGTTCTCAGGTTTAACAAAAGCTCTTTTCCACTTTTTAAAATGCTTTTTCCACTTTTGCAGGGTCCTATGAACCTAACACCATGAAATTGGAGGACCTACTGTATTTAGTAATGCTATGCTGAAGTGATTTAATGTTTTCTCACAAAAGGGTATGTAATATAGTCTGCATCATCATAAACACAAATATTCAACATATTTGAATTAGTCTTGACTAATCAATGTTTATTAGTGTTCCACGTGAGAACGTAGGGCCAAATTACAAAAGGAAGAAAATCTCTTGATACAAAAAATATATATATTATTCATCTTGGGCAAGTCGTGTTTTCATATACATATTTACTTATTAAGTGTCTGTGGTATTGCTGAAAGCCGACACATGCACAAAAATCGGCTTCATTATTATTCTAAAAGATCACACATTTAAACATTTATCAGGCATTGTGCCAGATTCAGGGAAGGCACAAAGCACTGGAGAAAAACCCACGAGACTAGCCTTTCAGTGGTAAACTTGTGCGCCAGCTGCGCCCGTACCTTGGGAAGTCTGACTTGGCCACGGTGATCCACACTTTGGTTACATCCCGTTTAGATTACTGCAACGCTCTCTACATGGGGTTGCCTCTGAAGACTGCCCGGAAGCTTCAACTAGTCCAACGTGCGGCAGCCAGACTACTAACAAGAGCATACTACTCCTCTGTTGCGCCAGCTCCACTGGCTGCCAGTTAGCTTCCGAGCACAATTCAAAGTGCTGGTATTAACCTATAAAGCCCTAAACGACTCCGGCCCAGTTTACCTGTCCGAACGTATTCTCCCCTATGAACCATCAAGATTGCTAAGATCGTCTGGAGTGGGCCTGCTCTCGGTCCCACCAGCCTAACAAGTGCGTCTGGTGGGGACGAGGGACAGGGCCTTCTCAGTGGTGGCCCCTCGACTCTGGAACTCCCTTCCACTGGAGATCAGAACTGCCCCTTCTATCTTGACGTTCAGAAAACAGGTGAAAACCTGGCTTTGGAAACTGGCATTCGATGAATGAGTCAAGATCCTGTGATATAGGTGGATGATGACGAACAATGATTTTATGATGACGACTGACCATTGTAATTATATGACTGTATTTTGTTATTTTAATGTTTTAGTGTAATTTGGAATATGATGTTTTTAATGATTGTTTGTAATATTGTTGTTGGAAACCGGCCTGAGTCCCTCGATGGAGGTGAGAAGACCGGTATACAAAACTGCTAAATAAATAAATAATAAAGCTATACTATAAGAAACACCCAAGAATAATGAAAACACACATGTGTATTTACCTGGTGTACATATTCATCCATACTAGATGGCATGTCAAAATTTACCACCAGCTTAACGTTGACAAGGTCAAGTCCACGTCCAAGGATTCCTGTGCTTACGACAACTTCATACTTTTCTTGGAATAGACCCTAGTTCAAGGAACAAATATATAACATTTCAAGTAAGAGCTGCTTGACTGCAAGATGTAAGAAATGAGGGGTGGGGGGGTTCAATAACCATTTTTCAACTGCTAGGGACAGAAAAGCAAAAGCCTACGTCTTATATCAGAGCATTCCAAACATTCCATGTTGCTGGCACAGTTTTTAGACATGCACCATTTCATAAGACAGTAATCCAGTTTCACTAGCAAACCAGAGGTTAAACCAACCCCTTATATAAGATATAGATAAATATATACATTGTAATAATGAAACGTATGAGGACACAACATATCTCACAAAAACATCATATCTTTCATTGATGTTTTTTTTAAAATGTATTATTTATTGAGTCTTTCACATAGACTCAAGAGGTTTTCCGTTACGTTCGCGCAACACACTGAAGTGTCACAACACATAGTGTGGGAAGCTCTGTGTTATGTAATTTCCTGGTGTTTAATATCAAACCTAAGAAAAAGACACAGAAAAGTTACGAACAAGCTAGCAATATCGCCTGATCACATCTGGAAACAAAAGGCGAGTAAGAAAAGAGTATCACTCCTAAGTATATTAAGATAACTTCTTCCCAATTATATTCTCTGAATTCAAGTTCCGGAAAAGCATTTTTCTAGCCAGCACTTGAAATGCTCGCATATGTTTTAAAACAGCCAAGAATAAACTGAATCAAGATGAAAACAAAACATATAAAAATTCAGTAAAATCCATTGTAGTCATGAGAGATAAAGCGAGTGGACAAAAAGGGATCCGCTCATAATACTAAAACTAGGGTTATTCCATTGAAGCTGAATTAGGTATTCCAGACAAATAAAAGAAAGCAGTTATCCGCTGCTTTCTAAACTATCTCATAGAAAACTTGAGATAGTTTTCTATCTCAAGATGCACTATTGCGACCAACTTGCTTTCAAAAAGTATTAGACAAAGTAATGGATAATTTCTGTTGTTATTTTAAGCCCTAAAGTCAGCTTTGCTTTACAATAACCATAGGAATGAGAGGCCTCCAAGAGACCCTGTTATTACTTCAGTTAACTACCAGTCACGGTGGCTATATATTATCTTTTTTTCTCAAAGACATTATGCTTCCAAATCCCAGTTGCTGGGGAACAAGAACAGGAGAGTGCTATTTATGTCCCTACGAGCGCCCCACACACATCTGTTTAGCCATTGCACAAAAAAAAGGACAGCTCAACTAAATAGAAGGCTTTGTCTGATGCAGAATGTCTCTTTTTATATTCATCACCTAACTTTTTAAACATCTACTCTGCATACAGGGAGGCAGCTATCGTAGGTATAAGATTTTGGAGGCATTAAGTTGTTATTTATTGATCTTGCAATTACTGTATTACTGTATTTTTACTGCCACATTGGGAAGAAGTACCTCTGGGACCAAGTTGCTCGAATAATATGGCAGCAGAAGGAGCATGTTTCTGGATCACAGATACAACTACATTTCATGGGAATGATGAAGGTCAGAGGGGAGAGCTTTTCAGCATCTCAGATAATAGACCAGTGTTTCTCAACCTGGGGGTCGGGACCCCCAAGGGGGTCAAGAGGTGGTTGCCAGAGGGGTCGCCAAAGACTTTCAGAAAACACAGTATTTTCTGTTGATCATGGGGGTTCAGTGTGGGAAGTGTGTCCCAATTCTGTCGTTGGTGGGGTTCAGAATGCTCTTTGATTGTAGGTGGATTATACATCCCAGCGACTACAACTCCCAAATGTCAAGGTCTATTTCCCCAAACTCCACCAGTGTCAACATTTGGGCATATGAGTATTGTGTCAAGTTTGATCCACATCCATCATTGTTTGAATCCACAGTGCTCTCTGGATGTAGGTGAACTACAACTCCAAAATTCAAGGCCAATGCCCACCAAACCCTTCCTGTATCCTCTGTTGGTCATGGGAGTTCTGTGTGCCAAGTTTGGTTCAGTTCTATCATTGGTGGAGTTCAGAATGCTCTTTGATTGTTGGTGAACTATAAAATCCCAGCAACTACAACTCCCAAATGACAAAATCAATCCTCCCCAACCCTACCAGTACTCAGATGTGGGTATATCTAATATTTGTGCCAAAATTGGTCCAGGGAATGAAAATACATCCTGCATATCGAATGTTTACATTACAATTCATAGCAAAATTACAGTTATGAAGTAGCAACGAAAATTTTATGGTTGGGGGTCACCACAACATGAAGAACTGTATTAAGCGGTCACGGTATTGGGAAGTTTGAGAAACAATGGAATAGACTGATATATTGACCCTACAGTATCCTCCCAGGATATGAAGCAAAGATGAGCTCTGAAACTATGCAGGAAGGCAGACAACAAATAGTAACTTTGGCAAAAGAACCTACAAAGTTCAGCACTGCTTTTAGTCAAACCTTCTCACAGCACCAATTGAGAAAGATAAGTTTTATAAAATATTGATGCTTGAAATAAATGTTAAGAGTTACGAAGACCATGACAAAATGTGCCTGAGCAATATCGAATGCATATGTAGTAGTCCTTATCTGAGGTCTGTGTGACCAGCACAGAATATTTTTAGGACTTCACATTCACGAGGATGCTTCCCAGACACCTTCTACATTGACATATAATCCAGATTATTAAAATAGATAATCTACATTATCTTCTCTGAACTGGATGATATGAGTCTACACTGTCATAAAATTCAAGGCAGATAATCTGGGTTTTATATGGCAGCGTAGAAGGAGCCTCAGTGTCTGGTATCAATGTAGGTATAACATCATCTTGGTTGCCCTAGGTAGGCACACAATATTGCATTTATAGCATTTCTAGAAAAACATTAATGACAGAAGTCAACATGGGGAAATGTCAGCTATTGGCAAATAGAGTTTATTAGGCTCACTAAAACAGATCCCAGCATATTATTATTATTATTATTATTATTATTATTATTATTATTACTATTACTATTATTATTATTTTACTGACACAAAAACACAATATGTCACAGCAAATGAGATATATATGCTGGATTTCGTATCACAAAATTACAAGTCGAACGCTTCCCAAGTGTCTAGGACTGTGTGATGTATATTATTATTATTATTATTATTATTATTATTATTATTATTATTTCTAACCCATCTCTTCTCATGACTCAAGGCAAGTTACAGAATAAATAAACACATAAACATTCTAAAAAAATCCACATGTACACATATTAAAAGGTGTGTGTTTTTATGAGCTCCATGTGGCCCACCCACTGTTATCATGAATGTGTTTATTGGAATGTTATTTTGTTATTGTGTGTATGTGTGTGTGTGTGTATTCTTTTTCTATGTAATTTTGATGATGTTGTTATTGTCTATGTTTTGGTGTTATTTTGCTGTAACATGTTGTCCAGGCTTGGCCCCATGTAAGCCGCTCCGAGTCCCCATTGGGGAGATGGTGGCGGGGTATAAATAAAGATTATTATTATTATTATTATTATTATTATTATTATTATTATTTCTATAAAATACATATTAAAAACACAGAACAGATATAACAATATTTAATATTTACTGTTTTTAATATGTTTTATGTTTATAGTGTGATTTGGTATTGTATTGAATTTTTGCCATTATCTATGGGTAAATTGATTTGAGTCCCAACCAGTCCATCCTCCAGGAAATAAAGCCCGACTGCTCATTGGAGGGAAGGATACTAGAGACAAAGTTGAAGTACTTTGGCCACATCATGAGGAGACAGCAAAGCCTAGAGAAGACAATTATGCTGGGGAAAGTAGAAGGTAAAAGGAAGAGGGGCCAACCAAGGGCAAGATGGATAGATGGCATCCTTGAAGTGACTGGACTGACCTTGAAGGAGCTGGGGGTGGTGACAGCCGACAGGGAGCTCTGCCGTGGGCTGGTCCATGAGGTCACGAAGAGTCGGAGACGACTGAACAAATGAACAACAACAAGGGGTGAGAAAAGTATATAAATACTGCAAATAAATAAATAAACAAATATATAATATCTATTTTGTACCAACAGTAGGGTTGCATGGAACACTATGGTCACAGATTGATTCAATAGTTGCAGTCCTGAAACTCAGCAAAGATCATGCTGTCATTCATAAATGTGGAAAAGAACACAAATAATCAAGAATACAAACCACTGAGGAAATGGCTGCGGCTAAAATTGTCTACAAACCTGTAATATGGTTGTTCTTTCTGTCTGTGATTTATCAGCATGCATGGATATTGTTTCTAAGCCTGTGATTTTATGAACAGCATCACTCAGAAGATCTGCACCCAGTTTACACTCCACAAATACCAGTATTGGTGGCTTGAAAAGTTTCTTATCCTAAGCAAAAAAGAAAAAACCTTAATTTATTCTTGCTTATCGAGACAGACAATGATTGCCAAAAGCAGTTACAGCTCATTTTATCTTCCACATAACCCCATCATCCCACCAAAAGAATAATGATTTTATAAAAGCCAAGCGGGCACATTACATTTTACAGTTACATATTTAAAACCATAACTTATGAGATGCACATTCAAATACAGATTTCAACATATTTTATTATATCTGTTAGGAGCCCCCGGTGGCGCAGTGGGTTAAACCCCTGTGCCGGCAGGACTGAAGACTGACAGGTTGCAGGTTCGAATCCGGGGAGAGGTGGATGAGCTTCCTCTATCAGCTCCAGCTCCTCATGCGGGGACATGAGAGAAGCCTCCCACAAGGATGATAAAAACATCAAATCATCCGGGCGTCCCCTAGACAACGTCCTTGCAGATGGCAAATTCTCTCACACCAGAAGCAACTTGCAGTTTCTCAAGTCGCTCCTGACATGAAAAAAAAAACCCGAATAGAAGAATGATAAAAGAAAGACAAGGAAGACTTAGGCCATTAATATAAAAGCTTTTCAGCATCACTTGCTCAAAAATACTATATATGTGATTTTGTACTATATGTTAGCATGAGGCCATGCATTAGTGATAGGCCACATGTTTTGTCTGGATATTCTAAGACTCAATCACTATCATTTCCAGATAAGAGATGAAAAACCTCTTGTTTGAAATCTTGAAGAGCAGTTGCTTGTCATTATTATAATACTGAACTAGATGGGATGATGGTGTAACAGGCCCCTTCTACATTGCCATATAATCCAGATTATCAAAGCAGATAATTGACATCTGCTTTGAACTGGATTATGTGAGTCTACACTGCCAGATAATCCAGTTCAAAGCAGATAATCTGGATTTTATATGGCAAAGTAGAAGGGGCCACAGAAATCAGTAACACTAAACAATAGGCTGTTTCTATCTGTGTTACAGTTAGCAGAAATGTTTATCAAAGTGGATTGCAATTATTATTATTATTATTATTATTATTATTATTATTATTATTTCCAGTATTTATATTCCGCCCTTCTCACCCCGCAGGGGACTCAGGGCGGATTACAGTGTACACATATATGGCAAACATTCAATGCCAATTTTGACATACAACATATACAGACATACACAGAGGCTATTTAACTTTTTCCGACCACCAGGGGAGCTGCCGCTTTCATCGTCCATCTGCTACACTGATGAAGTGCTTCTGCATTCCCTGCATGCTTTTGCTGGAGTGCTTTGCTGGAGTCTTTTTTATGGCCTCATAAATTAGTTAATTTAACCTCCCCACACAAGGTGGTACCTAATTTTCCTACTTGACAGATGCAACTGTCTTTCGGGTTGCAAAGGTCAACAACAGGCTACACAATTGGTTGGAAGCCCACTCCAACCTGGGCTGGCTTCGAACTCATGACCTTTTGGTCAGAGTGATCTTAATGCAGCTGACACTCAGCCAACTGTGCCACAATCCCGTAGCTGTGACGGTGGTGGTATTTATGTCCCACTTCTCCTCTCCCAAAGGAGAATTAGCTCCCTTCTACACTGCCATATAATCCAGATTATCAAAGCAGATAATCCACATTATTAGCTTTCAACTGGATTATATGAGTCTACACTGCTATATAATCCAGTTCAAAGCAGAAAATCTGGATTATATATGGCAATCAAGAAGGGGCCTCAAAGTGGCTAACACTAAAAAGCATACAATATTTCAATTAAAACCCAAAGCATAGAAACATAAAAATAGAATTAAATAGATGCATTTATATCTTTGCAATACAGGAGCCCCATTGTAAACAAACAGACCAAACATATTTCTCAGCTTCACACCACATTTCCAAATGTCCATAATTTGAAGAGGCAAAACCAGGGGAATCTCTTTCCACAGATACTCACATTTAAAATTTCAAACAGTTTCTTCTTTTTCGAAGGTTCCTCCACCCACAGAATAATCTGGCGGACATTGGAACATGGCTGGTTTTTCTCCCCAATGGTTATTTTCACAGGGTCTTGGAGGAGCCGATTTGCCAACTGCTCAATACCAAAAGGCATTGTGGCTGACACTAAAATTGATTGATGGTCTCTGGGGATGTTCTCCAAAATATCTAGCACTTGCTGCTGGAATCCCATCTTCAACATAGTGTCAGCCTATTCAAACAAAGAGAAAACATGAATTCATTGGCATCAGGTTTTAATTTGATGTGCCTGGCTGAGAAAATATTGCTCTGAGCAATGCTGTTTAAGGCCCCATCTACAGTCATGTTGAAGGCCCCATCTACATCGCCATATAATCCAGTCTCTGAATCCAAATTATCAGATCTGAACTGGATTATATGGCAGTGTAGACTCATATCCAGTTCAAAGCAGATAATTTGGATTCAGAAGCTGGATCATAGGGCAGTGTAGCTCCAGCCTAAGAAACACCCACCCAACATTTTGTCTTCAAGACATAATACAGACTTACCTCATCCACTACAACTATTTTGATATTATGGAGTTCAACAGAACTTTGCTTTAGAATTTCTAGGAGCCTTCCGGGAGTTGCTATTATAACCTAATAGAAAAAAGGGAGAAAACAACTTCATACAATAAAACAAAATTTCAAAATATTTAATTGATATAGTCAAATTCTTCCCTATGTCATCGAAACTCAGGCAAGCACAGAAATAAAATCCATTTAAGCAATGTAAAGCAATTTGAATTCAAAACAATATGGAATGGTTTAAACAAATTAAAGGTATATTAAACAACTAAACAAATGTAATTACAATCTTCCACAAGCAATGGAAGAGACAAGTGTCTTCAAGCAAATTGAAGTTGAATCCAGACAAGACAGAGGTCCTCCTGCTCAGTTGCAAGGCCGAACAGGGTATAAAGTCGCAACCTGTGCTAGATAGGGTTACACTCCCCTTGAAGGCACTGGTTCGCAGCTTGGGAGCTCTCCTGGATTCATCACTGAGCCTGGAATCCCAGGTTGCAGCAGTAGCCAGGGGAGCGTTCGCACAATTAAAACTTGTGTGCCAGCAGCAACCGTACCTTGGGAAGTCAGACTTGGTCACGGTGGTCCACGCTCTCGTTACATCTAGGATAGACTACTGCAACATACTCTACATGGGGTTGCTTTTGAAGACTGCTCGGAAGCTTCAAATAGTCCAACGAAAGGCAACTAGGTTAATAACTGGGGCGGCATACAGGGAGCATACAACTCCCATCTTACGTCAGCTCCACTGGCTGCCAGTTTGCTAGCGGGCACAATTCAAAGTGCTGGCTTTGGCCTATAAAGCCCTGAACAGTCCCGGCCCAAATTACCTGTTCGAACGCATCTCCCCCTATGAACCATTATGGAGATTAAGATCCTCTGGGTAGGCCCTGCTTTCCGTCCCGCCATTGTCACAGGCGCGATTGGTGGGGACAAGAGACAGGGCCTTCTCGGTGATTGCTCCCCGGCTATGGAACTCCCTTCCTGGTGAGATCAGGTCGGCCCCCTCCCTCCTGTCCTTTAGAAGGATGGTAAAAACTTGGCTGTGGGACCAAACTTTCGGTACAGGGCAATGAAGTGGCAGTGGAAAAGATGACAGGGCCAATTGGATTTGATGCGTATGGCTAGGACGGTTTAAAATGATGTATCTTAATATTTTGATAAATGTTTTTTAATGGTTATGTATTGTATGTGAATTTGTGTCCCGGCATTGAATGTTTGCCGTGTATATGCTGTGCTCCACCCTGAGTCCCCTTCAGGGTGAGAATGGCAAAATATAAATGTTTTAAATAAATAAATAAATAAATATTGTTTGCCTAGATTCAATAAAAGGCCTTAAAGAGTATTTTATTCTGAAAAGGCCCCTACTAGAAAAAGAGAGGTGTGTTTTTCTACCTGAGAGTGTTGTTCTCTAGTTCTGCCAATCTGTTTTGATTCCCAAGCCCCCACCACCCATATACAGGCAGACCCAGAGTTACAAGCATTCAGTTTACAAATGACCCTTAGTTAAGAATGGGAGTGAGACAACAGGAAGTGAGAGAAATCTTCCCCTCGGAAAGGAAATTCATTCCTGGAAGACTTATTATCATGGGGAAAAGGTGTATCCACCGAAGCTTTCTCAGCAAGCCTTGTTTCCACAAAAAGTCATTTTTTTCAAAATCCACTTATCACAGGGGCAGAAAGTACAGTGAAATCTTCTAAAGAGGGGCACGGAAAGCAAAGCAAACACCACAGGGGTGTTAACCATTCTCTATGCTATCCAAAGCTATATATGACTTGGCCACGGTAGTACATGCTCTGGTTACATCCCATGTAGACTACTGCAACGCTCTCTACGTGGGGTTGTATTTGAAGACAGTCCAGAAGCTTCAACTAGTCCAATGAACAGCAGCCAGCTTGCTAACAGGAGCGGCGCTCAGGGAGCATACAACCCCCTTGTTGCACCAGCTCCACTGGCTGCCGGTTTGCTACCAGGTCCAATTCAAAGTGCTGGCTTTGGCCTATAAAGCCCTAAACGGTTCTGGTCCAACTTACCTGTCCGAACGTGTCTCCCCTTACAAACCATCGAGGACTCTTAAGATAGTCTGGGGAGGCCCTGCTCTCGGTCCCGCCTTCGTCTCAAGTACATTTGGCGGGGACAAGAGACAGGGCCTTATCAGTGGTGACCCCTCGGCTATGGAATACCCTCCCTAGGGAGATTAGAATAATAGAATCATAGAATCAAAGAGTTGGAAGAGACCTCATGGACCATCTAGTCCAACCCCTTGCCAAGAAGCAGGAATATTGCATTCAAATTACCCCTGACAGCAGGCCATCCAGCCTCTGTTTAAAAACTTCCAAAGAAGGAGCCTCCACCACACTCCGGGGCAGAGAGATTAGATCTGCTCCCTCCCTTTCGGAGGCAAGTTAAAACATGACTGTTTGAGCAAGCATTTACAAATGCAGCGTAGCTAATATAGGAAATCGAACGATTTAATAATGGAACTGGACAATGCTTAATAATAATGAGACGCTAATGATGTTGTTTTTATTGCTTTTGTGGTGTTTTATATTGTTTAATGTTTTAATCTGTATTATGTTTTTATATGTACTGATTTGTTGGAAACCGAATTGAGTCGCCGATTGGCTGAGAAAGGCGGAATACAAATACAGTGAATAAATAAATAATAATAAATATATTCACTTATTTAACATGGTTTTCAATATGTTGTAAGGAAGGCTGGCAGGACTTTTCGTTTTCACAGACGGAGCCAAGGGGGACCAAAATTATGAAAAATAACACCTATTATTATAAGTGTTAATGGTTTTAGCTATTCATTTTTAGCTAGTTCTAAATTAAATTCTGCTTCAATGTGTATAGGCTTTGGGTTTTAATTGCATATGGTACTATTTTTAGCACTCTTCGCTGCTTTGAGACTCATTAAAGCCCCTTCTACAATGCAATATAAAATCCAGATTATCTGCTTTGAACTGGATATGGCAAGGGTTTTTTTGGGGGGGTTTTTTTGGTCATGTCAGGGGTGACTTGAGAAACTGCAAGTCGCTTCTGGTGTGAGAGAATTGGCCATCTGCAAGGATGTTGCCCAGGGGATGCCTGGATGTTTTGATGTTTTATCATCCTTGTGGGAGGCTTCTTTCATGTCCTTGCATGAGGAGCTGGAGCTGACAGAAGGAGCTCATCCGCGCTCTCCCCGGATTCGAACCTTATTATAATAGGTGTTATTTTTCATAATCTTGGTCCCCCTTGGCCCCGTCTGTGAAAATGAAAAGTCCTGCCAGCCTTCCTTACAATATTTTGAAAACCAGGTTAAATAAGTGAATATATTTATTATTATTCTGTCTTCAGTCCTGCCGGCCCAAGGGTTTAACCCACTGTGCCACCGGGGGCTCCATATGGCAGTGTAAACTCATGTAATCCACTTCAAAGCAGATTGGATTATCGGATATGATAATCTAAATTATATGTTAGTATTGGGGGGGGGGGCTAAGAAGGAAAAAAAAGCATATAAATCAATATAATCATCTTCTAATTATGAGGAAGAGCAAATGTGGAAAAGGATAAGCAAAATTACACATATCCTTTTACTACATTCTTACTGGTTTGTATGGATATTCACTGGACGTGCAAGTCACACCCTCTTCAGTCTCAGAGGAAGTCCAAAAATAATTTGGAATTCTCTATTTAGTTAACAAGAGAGCAGAAATCCTGAAAAGATTGAGAACAAACAGCACATCTAATCTGATTGCATCTGATCTTGGAAATTAATCAGGGTCAGGTAGCAAACTGACAATAAATATCAGGCACAGTAGGCTATACTGCAAAGGAAGAAACTGGCAAAACCAACTCTGAATATTCCTAACCTAAGAAAACCTTTTGAAATTCACGAGGTCATCATAAGGGAGAGGGCACAAGGGAGAGAGCCTTCTCTTCTGTGGCCCCCCAACTTTGGAACTCCTTACCTGGGGAGATCAGGAAAGCCCCTTCACTAGAAACATTTAAAAAGAACCTCAAAACCTGGCTTTTTCGCTGCGCCTTTGGTGAGTAGGTGCACAGCATGATATTTTGCACCCCTCAATGTTTTCTGCTAATAGAGTTCGTGCCCTCCAAATAGGATGTTTAGCCTCACAACTCTGTGTGTTTTATGAGTTCCATATAAACGTCCTACTCCTATTTTATCTCATCATAGTTTGTTAACTGTTTTTATCCTGAATATGTGGCCCGCCCATTGTCATCACTACTGTGATTGTGTTTATTGGAATGTTTATTTTATGATTTTTTTTCTCTTAATGTCATTTTGATAATGTTGTTGTTTGTTGTATATGCTTTGATTTTATTGCTGTATTATGTTGTCCGGACTTGGCCTCATGTAAGCTGCTCTGAGTCCCCATCGGGGAGATGGTGGCGGAGTAGAAATAATAATAATAATAATTATTATTATTATTATTATTAGTTAGCAGGCAACTTGAAAGCGAACACGCACACATATACAATTTTATGTTGTTCCAATATTCGTGCAAAAAATCACCTTAACATTCTGTTTCAGGCGATGAAGTTGAGGAGGTAAAGGCAATCCTCCAACTAGAAGGACTGTTCTCATGTTTGGTAGCCCAACCATAAGCTCTTTTGCCTGTTTCTCGATCTGGATAGCTAATTCTCTGGTTGGCGTCAGAATAAGAGCAGATGGTGCTTCTACCTAAAATAAGAAAAGAGTTACAAGTCACAATCCATTTTCGCAAAGAAAACTCTAATTAAAACATAAAGAGAACTGCTGGTACCCCTTAGATCAGCTCAACAATTTTTATTTTCATCCAGAAGTAAGTAGGAATGACGTAGAACAATCAGAATAAGGCATTAGAGACTGGGAAGTGAGTGGGTGAACTCTTACAGAAATTGTATAAAGACCCATTCACCCATCTAAATATGGGTTTCAGACATTAAAATGATTGTTGCAATGGATGGCATGGATGTCTGAATGAGTCATCAAAGAACTAGACCTTTTTGTAGCAGTCAAAGAAATAATAAAATTGTATTTATATTTCACCCTATCTCTCCAAGGGGAGAGACTCAAAGTAAGTACTGCACAGTTAAACAGGAAATAACACTTTCAAACCAGGAACATTTTTTTTTTCAAAATTTGTTACGTAGTGTAATCAGGGCCCTTCCACACAGCCCTATATCCCAGAATATCAAGGCAGAAAAGCCCACATTATCTGAGTGTGGCCACAGATAACCCAGTTCAAAGCAGATATTGCGGGATTTTCTTTCTTTATATTCTGGGATATAGGGGTATTTAGGAGGGTCCTCACTCAGCATTTGCAAAGCTTGATACTCAAGCTGATTTTCCTTTTTGTGAAGTACAGCTGAAGCATTTTCTGTAAAATCCACTACAAACAATGTACATTGTTGCTAACAGATTTGTGTTAAAATGGGTGGCATTTATTTTATTTATTTATTTATTAACTTTATTTGTACCCCGCTAGCATCTCCCGAAGGACTCGATGCGGCTTACATGGGCCGAGGCCTCAAAAACAACAACATAACAATACACATAATATTATAAAGCAAATCAAAAACATGAAGCAATAGACGATAAACAATACACCATAACACAATTAAAAACTAGGAACGGGCCAACTGTAATGGGTCCAGATTAAAAAGGTGCTGAGTATAACAGGTAACATGTAGGATTTTAGGGTAAGTGCAATGTGCAGACAATCTTAACTCTCTGATAAAGTGCTTCTGGGACATATTGCTGGAGTTTCCTATTCTGGAAAGGCACACCGGAACAGCCAGGTCTTCAAGCTCTTCCTAAAGACTGCCAGTGTAGGGGCTTGTCTGATGTCCTTGGGGAGGGTGTTCCAAAGTCGGGGGGCTACCACAGAAAGGGCCCTGTCCCTCGTCCCCACCAAACGCGCCTGCGCCGCAGGTGGGATCGCAAGCAGGGCCTCTCCAGATGAACGAAGGGAGCGCGTGGGTTCATAAATGGAGATGTGGTCACGCAGGTAGGCAGGTCCCTGAAGGGCGTTCAGAAATCTTTCACTGTTGACAATTTTGTGACCCCAACGCTGAGCTAAGGGGACCCCATTTGGGGCCGGTATCCACAGTTTAAGAGGAAGTATTCTAATATTTCATAATATTCTACATCTAGGATAGACTACCGCAACGCACTCTACATGGGGTTTATTATTATTTATTATTTATTTATTTAGAACTTTTATATACCGGTCTTCTCAACTTCCACAGAGGGACTCAGTCCGGTTCACAACAAAAGATTCATAAACTGTAGTTTAAAACATCACATCCCATAATTCACTAAAACATTAAAATACAATCATATAATTACATAATGCCAAGTCGTCAAAATGAAGTCACAATTCATCGCCATCTTTGAAGACTGCTCGGAAGCTTCAAATAGTCCAATGAGACGCAGCCAGGTTAATAACTCGGGCGGCATACAGGGAGCATACAACTCCCATGTTACGCCAGCTCCACTGGCTGCCAGTTTGCTACCGGGCACAATTCAAAGTGCTGGCTTTGGCCTATAAAGCCCTAAACGGCCTCAGCCCAAATTACCTGTCTGAATGCATCTCCCCCTGTGAACCATCGCAGAGATTAAGATCCTCCGGGGAGGCCCTGCTTTCTGTCCCACCATTGCCACAGGCACAATTGGTGGGGACGAGAGACAGGGCCTTCTCGGTGATTGCTCCCCAGCTATGGAACTCCCTTCCTGGTGAGGTCGACCCCCTCCCTCCTGTCCTTTAGAAGGATGGTAAAAACTTGGCTGTGGGACCAACCTTTCAGGACAGGGCAATAAAGCGGCAATAGGAAAGATGACCAAGCCAATTAGATTTGACGCAGATGACTAGGACGGTTTTAAATGGTGTATTTTAATATTTTGATAATTTTTTTTAATGTTTATGTATTGTATGTGAATCTGTGTCCCAGCATTGAATGTTTGCCGTGTATATGCTGTACTCCGCCCTGAGTCCCCTTCGGAGTGAGAAGGGCAGAATTTAAATGTTTTAAATAAAATAAAATAAAATAAAAAATAATCTTAACTGCTAGCTATGACCTCTCGTTTGAAAGATCCCTTTGCATTTCTTACTTTCAAAGCAATGGAATGAAAAGCAGAACTTCAAAGGAAAACAGCCACCAACCAACCAGAGGATCAATGTATTGTCAAAAGCTTTCATAGCTGGAATCCCTCAGTTGTTGTAGGTTTTTTGGGGCTATATGGCCATGTTCTAGAAGCATTCTCTCCTGATGTTTTGCCTTCATCTATGGCAAGCATCCTCAGAAGTTGTGAGGTCCCAATCTCTGAGGATGCTCGGCATAGATGCAGGCGAAACGTCAGGAGAGAATGCTTCTAGAACATGGCCATATAGCCCAAAAAACCTACAACAACCCAACCAGAGGATCATTTCTCTAGAGTTCTCAGTACAGCAAAAGATGAAATCCCATGGAGGATTTATTTCAGGAGCAACCTCCTTAAATGCCTTCACTGAAATGTGACACACAATTTCTACCTCTTCTTGAACTTTACCTCTCCCATGGCTTTAATTATAACAGGAAGCAAAAATGCAGCCGTTTTTCCTGAGCCCGTGTCGGCTGTTGCCACAATATCCCGGCCCAGCAATCCAACTGGAATCATTTGCATCTGAACCGGAGTTGGAACTTCATAGCCAGAGTTTTTTAAATTGGAGTTCAGAACATCAGGAAAGCCACAGTGTTCAAACTCTACTATAGGTCTTGCAATTCCTTGGCCTTGGACAACAATGCCCAGCTGCTGCTTTAAGTTGTCAATCTGCTCATCTTGAAGACTTGACACAAAGGCATTTTCTTCATAGGCGTAAGGACCACTCGGAAAACTGGGGAGAGATTCTGCTTTATTAGTAATAGCCAGTTCTTGGTTTTCTTTCTCCTCTCTGACACGTAAAAGGTGTTTGGCTTTACACTCCAAGCTGCAAACGTCTTCGTCCGTCTTGTCGCAGATATACTCCCCATAGCGGCCACAGACCACACATACAGGTTCCCCAGGCTGTGGCCAGCGTTGGTTTTTACAGAACGATTTTATGGGCTCTTCCACAAGAGAACAGTTCTCTTCGTCGGCCTTTGCCGGAGACGATTCGGAGATCTGTGGCTCAGTGTACCCTTCTACTGGTTTGAATACATTCGTTTCTGTAGCTGATACATCTCTTATATCCAACTTGGCCTCTCTGAGCTCTGTAACCTTTTCAAACGAGGACTCATCTGAAGAGGGCTTATTCTTTTTAGCTACGCAGGTCTCTGAATCAGCTGCACTCCGCTTGACTTTCAGAGATCTTGGAACAAACATTCTTCAGAAGCCTGTAATAAAAGCATAGAGCAATTACCAGAAAACCTAGACAGATTCCCATCCATTCTTTCGGTAACAGTTTCCATTAATTAGATATTTCAGGTTACTGTGGATGGAATCTACATTTGGTATATGTATTTTACTATATTATTATTATTATTATTGACACAAAAGTACAGTATGTCGCAGCAAATGAGATCTATATGCTGGATTTCGTATCACAAAATCACAAAATTACTTCCCAAGCGTCTAGGACAGTGTGATGTATTTTTGAATGATGCACACAGATCCAACCAAGTAAGGTGGCCTTTTGCAGTTATTATTATTATTATTATTATTATTATTATTATTATTATTATTATGTATGCATTTTATGTTGACATGTTTTGACTATGCTATAACCTGCTTCAAGCCACGAGGAGAAGTGGGGAACAAATAAATTAATTATTATTGTATTATTCTACTTCTGGTCCCTTCTTGTTGGAAAAAAGGTCTCTCCTTTGCCTAAAATGGTCCAGGGGGGCTACAACATGGCACTATTCTCCCTCAAGTCCCTTAGGGGGCATTGGGGAGACATTTTAGAGACCCCATCTACACTGCCAAACTGCTTTGAGGCGCCTAAGGGCTGAGAAAAGCGGTATATATATATATAGTCGTGTCAGGAGTGACTCCTGGTGTGAGAGAATTGGCCGTCTGCAAGGACGTTGCCCAGGGGATGCCTGGATGATTTTGATGTTTTTATCATCCTTGTGGGAGGCTTCTCTCATGTTCCCGCATTAGGAGCTGGAGCTGATAGAGGGAGCTCATCCACCTCTCCCCGGATTCGAACCTGTGACCTGTCCGTCTTCAGTCCTGCCGGCACAGGGGTTTAACTCATTGCGCCACCGGGGGCTCCGGTATATAAATGAAGTAAATAAATAAATAAATTTTGGTGAAAAACAAGTGGAGATAATTGCTTTTGCTTAGGAGAAAGCCAGCAGAATGAGTGTAGTATTTATTTATTTGCAGTATTTATATTCCGCCCTTCTCACCCCATAGGGGACTCAGGGCAGATTACAATGCATATATACATGGCAAACATTCAATGCCATTAGACATACAACATATATAGACCGACATAGAGGTAATTTACAATTTACAATGTACTCCAAGAATCTTTGATAAACCATTGTGGTCTCCAGTCGTTGTCTACCCCTTTTTAAAAGTCAAACGAAATGGTGGACGTCAATTAATCTAGCAGAAGCAAATGATGTAATTTTATAATAGATTGTATGAAGTAACATCATTTTTATTTGCCTGATTGCCTCACAATTCCGTTTCCAGTGAGCGAGCACTGGAAAAGTTTTTTCTATCCACTTCCTCCATGCCATGTATAACTAAGACCCCATCTACACTGCCATATGAAATCCAGGTTATCTTATTTGAACTGGATTATCTGACAGTGTGGACACATATAATCCAGTTCAAAGCAGATAATGTGGGCACACACACACAACATAGAATGTAATATGTTACAAGCATTTTAGAAGCCTAAAACAAATAACTTTTGCACAGATATAGTCTATATAACATGACTGAATTAAGTAGCAATGCAATATGCATGAGGACACAGGGGCATGAGAGAAGTGGACACATCCACTGCATTTATACAGTGTGTCTACACTGTTAAAAAAATGCAGGTTGACACCATTTTAACTGCACTGGCTGAATGCCATGGAATTTGGTTACGGTTCTGGCCCAGTTTACTTGTCTCCCTCTACGTCCCGCCTCACAGTTTAAGATCATCCGGGGAAGCCCTGCTCTCGCTCCTGCCAGCATCGCAAATACGTCTGGTGGGGACAAGAGACAGAGCCTTCTCGGTTGTGGCCCCCGCCTGTGGAACTCGCTTCCCACCGAGGCAAAGTCAGCTTTGTCTTGCCTGTCTTTTTGGGAATAATTGAAGTCGTTCTGCGACCAGGCTTTTGGACAGCAGGCATAAATAGCACTTTGGATATGGAATTCAACTGAAATGATGATATGGCTGTTAATACTGTTTTACTGTTTTAATTAATGTTTTATTTATTGTTTTAATTGTTGTGATGTTGCTTTGTTATATGTGATGGCATCAAATTGTTGCCTAATGTATGCCGTCCTGAGTCCCCCTCCGGGGGTTGAGAAGGAACAGGGTAGAAATACTGGAAATAAATAAATAAATAAATAAATAAATTGGAGTCTAGCAGAGAGAGCTAAAGGTCCCTTAAGAAACTACAACTGCCATGATTCCATAGCACTGAGCCATGGCAGATAAAGTGGCATCGAAGTGCACTAATTCCACCGTGTGGATGCTCTCTGTGACCCTGTCGATCAGGGATTGAATTCCTGCTCAGTTCTGGAAAATCACTGAGTGGTCCTAGAGGAAGAATAGGCTGGATCTACACTGCCATATAACTCAGATTATCAAATCAGATAATCCACATTATCCGCATTGAACTGGATTATATGTATCTACATTGCTCTATAATCCAGTTCAAAGCAGATAGTCTGGATTTTATATGACAGTGTAAAAGGGGCAACACACTCTCAGCCTCAAAGAAAGGAAAATAAACAAGCCCTCTTTGAACAATTCGTGCCCAAAAAGCCCTGGGATAGATTCGCCACAAGTCAGGCCCCTTCCACACAGCTCTTATATCCCAGGATCTGATCCCAGATTATCTCCTTATCCCAGTGGAGACTCATATAATCTAGTTCAAAGCAAATAACTAGAGATAAGATCCTGGAATAGAAGGAGAGTGTAGAACGGACCTCAGAAACTCTATCTGTGTATGACTCTATCCAGTGGTGCTCAACCTTTGAGCTTTCCAGGCTTTCGGACTTCAACTCCCAGAAGTCTTTGCCAGCTTGGCCAACTGTGAGGAATTCTGGGAGTTGAAGTCCAAAAGCCTGCAAGACCATAGGTTTGCGTTCAAAGAGCCTAGGATATGGGAAGTGAGTGTTCATACCAGCATTAATGCGTCCCACCTTCCCGATCGCCTTACCGCACTCCGGGTCCCCCAAACATCCGGGATTCCTCTCTCCAGGCGGCGGATGTAGCCTCCACTTCCGCCCGGGCCTCCTCACCATCTCTCTAGGCACGCAGTCGCATCATAGATTCCACCCTTTGCTCTTAGACAGAGAGAGAAAGGCAGGGTTGATTGGTACATGCCTCACACTTCCGGCTCCGCTTCGATGTTGCTGAGCCAGAATGCAACTCCCCCCAGCTAAGGAAACTTTGGAGTTCACAGTGAACCCACAGAAAGCAATGTTTGGATGTTTCTGGCTGCCTTTTGAAAGTTCTAGGGTTTTTTTCATGCGAAAGAAGTCCCATTTTCAAAAATGAAAATTGCAAAGGGAAAAACTGGTCCTGTTGTGAGTTTTTCGGGCTGTATGGCCTGTAGCATTCTCTCCTGACATTTCGCCTGCATCTTTGGCAGTCATCCTCGGGGGTTTGTGCAGAGGTCTGTTGGCACTGAGGCATGTGGAATGTATTATGGACCTGTGGAAGGTCCAGGGTGGGAGAAAAGAACACTTGTCTGTTTGAAGCAGGTGTGCATTAGCAAAGCTTGATGAGCATTGAGTAGCTTTGCAGCTGCAAAGTCAATCAGTGAGAGTATTTGCATAGAGGTCGCCTGGCTGTTGTTGCCTGGGGGACCCTTTGTTTGGGAGGTGTTAACTGGCCCTTGATTGCTTGCTGTGTTGAATTCTCCTTTTTCTGACTGGTGTTGTTTATTTACTGTCTTGATCTGATGCTGTTTAATACTTGTAGCCAGATTTTGTTCATTTTCATTGTTTCTTCCTTTCTGTTGAAATTGTCATAGAATCATAGAGTTGGAAGAGACCTCATGGGCCATCCAGTCCAACCCCCTGCCAAGAACCAGGAAAACTGCATTCAAAGCACCCCCGACAGATGGCCATCCTGCCTCTGTTTAAAAGCTTCCATAGAAGGAGCCTCCACCACACTCCGGGCAGAGAGTTCCACTGCTGAATAGCTCTCACAGTCAGGAAGTTCTTCCTGATGTTTAGATGGAATCTCCTTTCTTGCAGTTTGAAGCCATTGTTTCATGTCCTAGTCTCCAGGGAAGCAGAAAACAAGCTTGCTCCCTCCTCCCTTGGATTTCCTCTCACATATTTATACATAGCTATCATGTCTCCTCTCAGCCTTCTCTTCTACATCCTAAACATGCCCAGCTCTTTAAGCCGCTCCTCATAGGGCTTGTTCTCTAGACCCTTGATCATTTTAGTCACCCTCCTCTGGACACATTCCAGCTTGACAATTGTGGTGCCCAGAATTGGACATAATATTCCAGGTGTGGATTAACCAAGGCAGAATAGAGGGGTACCATTACTTCCCTGGACCTAGACACTATACTCCTATTGAAAGGGTCTTTGAGCGAAATTTGTAAATACTAAGTAAGGGGCTTTGAAAGAAATTAACAGCAAAAGAGAGACATACCCTTTCTCTGTAGAAAAAGAGCACCACGGAAGAAACAAGATGTGACATATTAAGGTACTTTCTTACACAGGATGCTTGTGGTTAACTTCAAAGATTGTTTTTTGAAGCACAGAGGCCGCATGTACAAGAAGGTACTTTCCATCAAAAGGTCAAGAGAGGGGGCTGGAAAGAGGGTACTTTCCATGATAAAAAATGTTCTTGTTTACTTGAGGTTATATATTTGGTGGTCAAAACCCTAGGGGCACGGCGGTCACTTGAAGGGTAGCATCTGTGCATGCTACCCGGCTGTCCGTCTTCTTCATGAAGAAACTAAAATAAACCTTGTTTTTTTATCTTTTTTGGGGACTGTCTCCTTCCTTTCATGCTCCCGCGACGTGGACCTAAAAAGACCCAATTTAGGGTCTCTAACACTATTGATGCAGGCCAAAATCCCAATGGCTTTTTTTGCCGCCGCATCTCATTATTGGCTCATGTTTAACTTGTCCACGAGGACTCCAAGATCTTTTTCACATGTACTGCTCTCAAGCCAGGCGTCCCTCATTCTGTATCTTTGCATTTCGTTTTTTCTGCCCAAGTGGAGTATCTTGCATTTGTAACTGTTGAACTTCATTTTGTTAGTTTTGGCCCATCTCTCTAATCTCCTTTTTCTGGTTAGTTGACATTTTGTTAGTTTTGGCCCATCTCTGTCAAGATCGTTTTGAATCCTGCTCCTGTCCTCTGGAGTATTGACTTTCCCTCCCAATTTGGTGTCGTCTGCAAACTTGATGATCCTGCCTTCTAACCCTTCATCTAAGTCATTAATAAAGATGTTGAACAGGACCGGGCCCAAGACAGAATCCTGCGGCACTCCGCTCGTCACTTCTTTCCAGGATGAAGAGGAAGCATTGGTGAGCACCCTCTGGGTTCGTCCATTTAACCAATTACAGATCCACCTCACCGTAGTTTTGCCTAGCCCACATTGGACTAGTTTGTTTGCCAGCAGGTCATCGGGGACCTTGTCGAAGGCCTTACTACTGAAATCCAGGTACGCTACATCCACGGCATTCCCCACATCTACCCAGCTTGTAATTCTATCGAAAAAAGAGATCAGGTTAGTCTGGCATCCTAAGGGGTTTGTGCAGAGGTCTGTTGCAAATGAGGCATGTGGAGTGTATGGTGAACTTGTGGAAGGTCCAGGGTGGGAGAAAAGAACCCTTATCTGTTTGAAGCAGGTGTGAATTAGCAACCTTGATGAGCACCGAGTAGCCTTTCATTGAGTAGTGAGGGTATTTGCATAGGTCGCCTGGCTGTTGTTGCCTGGGGAATCCTTTGTTTGGGAGGTGTTAACTGGCCCTTGATTGTTTGCTATGTTGAGTTCCCCTGTTTCTGAGTGTTTTTTATTTACTGTCTTGATTCTGGTGCTGTTTAATACTGGTAGCCAGTTTTTGTTCATTTTCATGGTTTCCTCCTTTGTGTTGAAATTGTTCACATGCATGTGAATTTCAGTGGCTTCTCTGTGTAGTCTGACATGATGGTTGTTAGAGTGGTCCAGCATTTCTGTGTTTTCAAACGATATTCAGTGTCCAGGTTGGTTTATCCAGTGTTCTTTGTGATCACATCTCCCTCTGTGAACCGGTGAAAACTTTAAGATCTTCCAGGTAGGCCCTCCTCTCGCTCCCACCACCGTCACAAGCACGGTTGGTGGGAACGAGAGAGAGGGCCCTCTCTGTGGTGGCCCCCCTCCTCTGGAACCCCCTTCCTAGAGAAATAAGACAGGCCCCATCCCTCCCCTCCTTTCGTAAGAGCTTGAAGACCTGGTGGTTTAAACAATTTCACAGGCATATAGCAGGGTTGAGAGGACAGTAGCTTTATAAACAAGCACCTTGGTATCCCTACAGATGTCCCAGTCCTCAAACACTCTCTGCTTAATTCGGAAAAATGCTGCACTCCCAGAGCTCAGGCAGTGTTGTATTTCAGTGTCAGTATTGACTTTTGTGGAGAGGTGGCTGCCAAGGTAGCGGAAATGGTCAACATTTTCTAGTGTTACACCATTAAGCTGTATTTCTGGCATTGGAGAATTTTATTTACCTCTGTACTTCAAATTTTGTGGTATTAATTTTGGAGAGAGGAAATCACAGAATTCTGCCCATTGGCAGAGAATTGCAGTGGAAGAGCCTGATATCCTAATTTATTTATCTGTATCCCACTTGATTCCTGCATGAGATATGCTCTGCTTTTTCCCTGCATTCCTATGGAGTTATACTGCCATTTTTTCCTATACATAATTCCGCATGAAACAAATTTCTGAATGCATCAAAACCTTTCAAGATTCTTGCACCCACTGAAAGCCAGCCCTATAAATTAAGATGTCATTTCTCGCAGTTAGTGCATCATTCAGATTGGCTGTTGCCTAGAAACCCATACTTGCTTCAATGAGTCAATTGAAGATGCCACTGCGCTCTCTCTGTTTTCCTTTAACCATATTCCTTTTCTCGGGTTATTACGTTTCAGAGCACTTACAAAGTGTCTTCAGTTTGCACCTCCCGCTCCTTATCTTAAAGGACCATGTGCCACTTTTTTATCTTCTTGGCTTGACTGCTGGATCTTGAGCTGTGGCTTAGGTTACAGGGGGAAAGCCAAGAGGTAAAGCTTTCATACCAAAAAAAATGTTATCTTCATATATATCAGGGTGCACAACTTTTTTTTATCCTTGAGGACTGCGTTTGATGCAGAAAATAGTGACTACACATGTGATTCTTTTTTTGCTTACTATGAAGGAATAGAGATTTTTCTTGGAAGGAGTAAGTTCAAACAATGCAATGAATAAAAGAAGCACTTTTCTTCCAACTTGCCATGCTCTGTGTAACCCTGATACGGAAGAACAAAGCAATCAGAGTTTTGGAGTTAGGTGCCACCTCTATGCAGATGACACACAACTCTATTACTCATTTCCACCCAATTCCAAGGAGACTTCCCGGGTGCTGGACGAGTGCCTGGCCGCTGTGTCTATCTGGATGAGGAGAAACAAGCTGAAGATCAATCCCGACAAGACAGAGGTCCTCCTGGTCGATCGTAAACTGGATCGGGGTATAGGGTGGCAACCTGTGTTGGACGGGGTTACACTCCCCCTGAAGCCACAGGTCCGCAGTTTGGGAGTCCTCTTGGATTCATCGCTTACGCTTGAGGCTCAGGCGTCGGCGGTGTCTGGGAGGGCTTTCGCACAATTGAGACTCGTGCGCCAACTGCGACCGTACCTCGCGAAGGCTGATCTAGCCGGGGTGGTCCATGCCTTGGTCACCTCTAGATTGGATTACTGCAATGCGCTCTACGTGGGGCTGCCCTTGAAAACGGCTCGGAAATTCCAACTGGTCCAACAGGCAGCAGCCAGGATGTTAACTGGGGCTCCTTACAGAGAGAGGTCAACCCTCCTGTTCAAGGAGCTCCACTGGCTGCCGTTTATTTTCCGAGCCCAATTTAAGGTGCAGGTGCTTACCTACAAAGCCCTGAACGGTTTGGGACCAGCCTACCTGCGTGACCGCATCTCCGTCTACGAACCCACGCGTTCACTTCGTTCATCTGGAGAGGCCCTGCTCGTGATCCCGCCTGCGTCGCAAGCGCGTTTGGTGGGGACACGAGACAGGGCCTTTTCTGTGGTGGCCCCCCGACTCTGGAACACCCTCCCCAAAGATCTTAGACAGGC